AGAAATGGCTCTGATCAAAACAGCAATCAAATATCCAGCCAGAATTATGGCAGATGATGCCGGTGGCTTAAAAAGAGAAGCAAACATTTGGCCGAGGCATGGCGTGCTAGCAGGAGTTTAACCAAACATCTGAGCTCCTAGCTGTAATTTTGACCCCGCAGGGATTAAGAGGAAAACCAATGTTATTAAAATGTATGACCCCCCTCTTCTTCTGCCAAGACCATCATCCCTGCAGCGGGCACCGCTGTCACACCGTGTCTCTGTTGGGTCCAGTGTGCACGGCCCAGCGCTAAGCTATTAAGCATCAATCATTCCTTAAAGGACGAGCAGAGGAGCCAAAATAAAGGCCCGTCCTGATGGAAACACCCCGAGCTGCTGAAGCATGTGACTTTGATTGCAGAAAGTGTTAAAGCAGGGAGGCAGGCCCGCTCTTACCCCATGACTCTCCCTTGGAGCGAGGGCAGCCTGCAGGACTGCTGCTGCTGCACATTCCTCTCCAAGAGGAAACACAGCCCATTAGCATCACATGCTAACAGAGGCGCCTGGACACGGTGAAGCGAAAACAATCCCAGCGTTTCCCTCAGTGCCTCTCAAGAACCAGTCAAGCAAAAACTCCAAGATTACACCCCCCCCCCCCCCCCCCCCCCAAAATAAAAACCAACCACTTCCCCTTTAAGGTTTTTTCCTTTTCTTTATATACTCCAAACAGTAGGTCTTAGAAACTTTGGTTGCCTAATATTTAAATATCTTGTCAAGTGTAATAACTTGACTTAACATAATATATTTACCCTCTTTGTTTGATTTATAACCAGTGACTGAACAATTCTACATCAGTATATGTTGAGCGAACATTAGACTGTAGCTCCAGTTGGATGTCGAGGGTCAGCTTTTACTTAAGTCCATCCATCCATTTCCTCCATCAAGTTGCAACTGATTCTCCGTCCCTGATGCAAAAAAAAAAAAAAACAACATCCCCACAGCATTATGCTGGCACCTCCATGCTTCACTGTAGGGATGATGTTGTCAACGATGGAAAGTTGCTTTTTTTCTACAGTTCTGCTTGTTGGGCAGAAACTGAAGTTACAATGTCATGTTATCTCAGGTGGATCAAAGCAAAGAGAACCGTTTGGACACAGTTCTATATTTTCATTGGTTAACAAGGCGTGATAAAGCATTGGTTTTATTGCAATTTAACAACCTTACTAGTAGTTTGAATTGTCTATTACACAAACTCCAAATAAAAGTTGAAATTTTAAGGTCGAAAAGTGAACATTTCTTTGATTGATCATGTGAAAGTGTGCTGCTGGGTTGGCATGTCTAGACTGGAGGTGATACAACCTTTAATAATTAGTGGGAAAGAGGATCAACTTGTGTTTGCACAATGTGCGCAGCATTAGCTAACTGCTGTCTGTCAGTCTCAATAAACCTGAACTCGGCTCACAATGGGCGCTGCCCGGCTCAATGGCCACAAGCGGCACACTTTGTTAATTAAAGAGGTGCAAACGCAGCCTGCCAAGGGGATCTGTCAGCGCCCACAAGTCTGCTGCGGTTAATAATGTTTATTTGCTTTTAATATGTCAGAGAAGCAGGAAATTTATTCTTAAAGCAAAAACTACCATGATCAGTGATAGTTTGACCCTTTGTTGTCATCCAGCTAGTCCAAAATATGTACTATGTTTTTCTCCCACACTGTTTACATACGATCACTGCTGCACTTTAAGATATGGAAATGTAATGAGAGCTGCACAAAATGACATTTTGTTGTGTATACAAAATGACAATAAAAGTTGTCTAATTCTAAGTCTGAATACATATTTTAACAAAATGATGTATAATAAATTTATTTAACGATGAAACTTCTGATTCGTTGCTATAAAGTAAAGACTTTATGCTGCAGGTAGAGATTACAAACACCAAGTCTGACTTTCTATTCAGCAGCTATGCTGTTTTAAGGTAAAAGAAATGACTGTTACACATCCTTAGTATAGAACCATTTAAACATTTTTATCAACAGATCTGTACATTCTTGGTTATCAATAGGGTTAAAAACTGATCCCTCTAAAGCGACACCAAAAAAATGACTCCACTTAAACTTTGCTGAGTTATAAAACAGTCATTTCAGAGAGTGTGTAGGAGGAGAAAGCGGACCATAAACCGGGGGAGGAGATGCATGGAGGCGAGCGGGACGAGGCAGACAAAGCGTCGGGCCAAACTCATTGATCAGAAAGAGAAAAAAACTTCCTCCCTCGCTTCCGTTCGTTCTTCCACTCCTTGTTGCTCCGGTTTAACAAACCAGAGGACTCAAAAACCACTGCAGACCCGGAACTCACGACCATATAATGTATTCACAGCATCAATCCACCAGCAGATGCTCTAACGGAGTACAATCACCAAATATGATCTCCCCCATCCTCTTAAAGCAAGTGGAGAGTTTGATAAAACTCTGTTTGCTGATTAGCTTCACCCCCAGGCAGAATTCATGTTGCATCAACTCAAAAGTGAAGACATTTTAAGATCTGCAGCTTCAATAGAATAACACTGCAGATCAATCAGACCAACATTTGGTTTTTCTCACAAAATACTAAATAAATACTTTTCCAGATTCAAATATCTGGTTTCATCATTTTAACCCAATATTTAGAAAGTATAAACTCAAAAGTCATGCAGTCAGGCTATGTAAAAGTAGAATTAAAAATATATATAATCCAATCTGATAACAGACAACAATGCTTTCCGAAAACCTATTCCTTAACCTTCAGGACCATCTATCTCAGATACTTTCAGAGGAGTGTGAGCACAATGGATGAAGCTGTCAATAACATCACTTACTCAAAAATAATGCCTGTTGGTGTTGAGAGATCTGGATGTGAAAGATAAATTAATGCCACCTTCACAATAAATGGGTTAACTTTTCTGTTTAATAAGAATAAAGACTTATGAGAACCTCAGATTATCTTCTTAAAGACGAGAATGGGAATAAAGTTTGGAAAAATGGTAATAGTAGCAAGTAATATACATTTAGAGTATTTTAGGGTCAAAAGATTACAATAAAAAGTTAAACCTAATACTATATTAGTGCTGTAAAAGTATGTGTAATGTTTAATAGTTTAATGTGATTTAGCAGAGGTGATGTCAATGACTTTGTTGGTGGTATCCACCACTAGGTTATCTGGAACTGAAAATTTATGAACAAAGGTTTGATGAATTTAATGGAATGAAGGATCTGATCAGGAAAAATATGCTGTGTCGGCTTGAAGTGGTTTAGCTTCACTGAATGCTTTTTTTCTTATAATACACCTCCCAAAATATCTCATTTAATGTTCTTTATAACACGCAAAAACTGAATCCTAATGTCCGGACATTATGATCCCTAACTCGTAGAGATCTAAATGAAATATTACCTCAATAAAGGCTTTAACAGCTCAGTGGCAGTTATTAATGTTAATAAGTTATTAATAGACGTAGATTAAGGAAATGAGGGGTGATTGGCACGTCTTTAGTGGGCAGGATGTTACCAAGTAACGAAAGGAGCTACAATCATTAACACTGCATTGTTCAAAACTGCTTAAAAGTAAACCATGTTTTGAATGACAGGTTGATAGTTTGTGGTTCATTTCTGCAGCATGAGAGAGAGAGAAAGAGATGTTTCATGCAGATAAAAGGAAGAAACTTTCGATCCTTTTGAACTTTTAACCTGTGTTTGCATTGGAACTTGTTGGGTTTGGAAATGTCGGATGGCGGTTCAGGTAAGAATCTACAGTGCAGCTGCTGCTGTGGTAGCAGTGCCTGGAAGATAAAAGATGCCAGACTTACTGGAGAGCGTTTTCGAATCCACGCGTCTAGTCTTATCTTAATCTTGGTGGGCTCTAATCTCGACTCTATGATATATATAAATATATATAAATATATGTATATATATATATATATAAATATATGTATATGTATATATATATATATATATATATATATATATATGTGTGTGTGTGTGTCTCAGAGCAACTGTTTGCAGTTGTTCTCTCTGCTCCTAATAAGACAATTTCACAGATAAAAAATAAAAATAAACAAATAACCAATGTACCTGCAATGATCAAATCTGTGTCCCCCAATCAAAGCCTAATCCATACTATAAAACTATAATCTTTAATGATTTTAAGAATCTGATTTCTGGGATAAGATTTAACGTTTACCACAACCAAGTGTGCTCATGAGTTGGGATGGGAAAAGAAATGAACCTTTAAAACCTAAATAAAGATAAACAAGCAGTCATGTGTACTCCATGCAGTGAAGAGATGAGCTGATGTCTTATGTTGTGGTGGATTAGTCTGAAAAAGGACATGTGTGTGTGAACTAGGCTGATGTGAGTGTCCTTTAAGTGTAGAGAGATAATTACTGCTGGTACCATCTTAAAAACCATTAAAACAAAGGCTGTCTTTGTAGGAGTCTTGACACAGACTTCAGTGTGAAGCAGATTAGGAGGGTGATGAGGTTCTGACCCCAAAGTGAAAGGTCCCTCAGAGTGGGGCCCCCTGAGGTGAAAAGAGCCAGTCTAATTTCAGGCACAGGGACAAAATACACTGAGGCATCCTTTGCAGGATGAGGAGACAGGGGCCCTCTGCAGGGCACAATAAACCACAACAAGAGAGCTGTAAACTCCAAATCACCTCTACCTAAAGATATACGGTATTTGCAGAAATAAGCCCTGCTCTGTAGCAGCACACAATAAATGATCACTATAGGTCAGTTTACATTCACACATGTGGAGGGGAAAAGGCTATATCTAAATGAAATGAAATGCTCACCAGGCCTCAGGTTCTCCAATTGCTTTGTGCAGCAGGAGCACAAAAGAGTAAAAATAAAAACAGAAATGGTCGCTGAGGAAAGGTGAGCAGGACACACCTTCACATGCTTATTTAACAGCAGCGGTGTGAGGAATCACCTGCAGAGAGCTGGATCTCTGCACACAGACAGGCAGACAGACAGACAGGCAGGGGGGACCGTACCTGAGGAATTCTTGCAGACAGGTGTCACAGAAGCGGTGTCCACAGGTGGACACTTGGACGGGCTCCCGCATCGCCTTGCTGCAGAGCGGACACTGGAAGCGCCTCTTCGGCTTCTCCAGGAACTTGTAGTCGAAGCCGGGCATGTCTGCGGGGCTTTTCTCTCCGGCCTTCAGGTTAGAAAGGTGCAGCTGATGCCCCTTGTTTACTCCCCCCCCCCTCCCCTGCAGACACGGAGCTGTTAGAGACGGAGGAGAAGCTGACGTCCAGCCCGTCCCTGACGGATCGAGTCCTCCGCTTCTCTCTCCTCCTGCAGCAGAACCGATCCAGGCCACCTATCCGCTGGGTTTGTTCACTCTGACAGCGCTGAGTGCAGGACTGATCCACTGAACACAATGCATTACCCTCAGTCTGTCTAGGTGCACACAGCTCCTCCTTCTTCTCCTCCTCCTCCTCCTCTAAGCAGGAGGAGTCCAGGAGCTGCTTTCACTTCATTTCCTCTCCCTTATCTCTATAATTGGGCTTTTACCTATCTTCATTTTAGATATACAATATAATAAAAGCACATATATGTTTAAATGATGCAAAAATGTGAAATATAACAAAAATAAAAAGTGAATTATTGACATAAATAAATCAAATTAGAGTTCAAATGAGGACGACGAGGCCCTCTAGTGGTGGAGAGTTTATTAACTTCACAAAAATACTTCTGATCCTTGCAAATAATTCAGCAGCTATGCGATTTAAATCTTTTTTAGTTGACATTGTTACGACAATAAAAAAAAATGAAAATAAAAAACACTTGAATAAGATGAGGAACGTGGGTAGAGAAGCTTTGATCCACACATGGATGTTCTTTCACCTGCTGCATTGCCACTGGATTACATCACCATTACATCACCAGTACAAGGACAACAATGGCAGCAGGGCCAGATCCTCACAAAAGGTGTCTGCAAGGAGATACATCAGCTTATAGGGTTAAAAAAATATATTTAAAAAGAAGTCAAACATTAAATGTTGGATGACAAAAAAAAATTAATGTTTTAGAGAACAAATTCTTATATTTATACGATGAGACAAAAGCTGACATAATGCTGCTTTGTTGTTTTTTCAAGCATTATAATTATTTGGTACATCAGTAGAAATACATGATAAAATAAACAGTGGGAAAAGTGGTCACAGCCCTTTAATCATTTTTTAGCTTTGTCACAATCACAAACTTTAATTCATATAATTTGGGGTTTTATAAAAAGGAAAAAATATATATGACTAGGACGGAGAAAAGAGGACATTTGCATTTTAAATTTTATTATAAAATAAAAATCTTATATCTGCAGCACATTTTTTTCATTTTTATCACTTGTAATAATTTTACATCATGGCTTTAAGGGTTTCCCTGAAGGAAGTTTGTATGTTTTTAGACTGTTGGTTCTAGTAAGGTTCACACTCCAGGACCATAAAATTAAATTGACCTTAAGTCTCAATGTATGTGGCATTTTGTTGGAGCAAGCTTTGACAAATAATAATCAACACATTCTGATCTAAGTGGTGGAAACACAGGGCATCTGCTATTTATTTTTTCAAAAGTTGACATAATAAATGGAAAAAGCTTAATATAGAGTAATAGTTTAAGACAGGCATGCCCAAAGTCAGCCCACTAGGGCTGCTGTTAGAGGTTTCCCTGCTTTAGCACAGCTGATTCTGATGACTTTAGTTCAGCCAAAGCCTGTTAATCAATGGAAATCAGCTTTGGCGTAGCAAGGAAACATCTTAAACATGCAGGACAGCGACCCTCGATGAACGTCTTTGGGCAAACCTGGTTATGAAGTAAATGAATCAAAATCAAAATAAAAAATACTTTTTAGACATAGAAAGCTAGTTGAGACAAAGCCTAGAGGACTTAAAGCACAAGGTGGTTCAGTTAGTATGTATTAGCTAATCAATATGCAGAATGAACGGATGAACTTTTCACATTTGTTATCTCTGAACTTTTTAAAAATGTGACATTTTTGTTCCAAGTCACAGGTATACCCTTCCTTGTATTGCTAAAGTTAACAATTGGGACTGTGGGATAATGTGACAAAATGTGAAAATAGACCCTTTAAAAAAACCTTTTGAGAAATTATGTCAGGGGGTCTTTATTTAAAGATCAACACATCACTTTATCAGGACATATAACATTTCGGACCCCATATTTTGCTTAACAACTCTTTATTAGGATACAAACGACAATACACACAACAAAAATATAAATGCAACACTTTTGGTTTTGGTCCCATTTTTTATGAGATGAACTCAAGAGACCTTAAACTTTTTCCACATATGAAAAATCACAATTTCCCTCTAATATTGTTCACAAACCAGTCTAACTCTGTGATAATGAGCACTTCTCCTTTAGTGAGATAATCCATCCCACCTCACAGGTGTGCTAAATCCAGATGCTGATTACACACCATGATTGACAGGTGTGTCTTAGACTGCCCACAATAAAAGTCAAATAAAACTCTCTGGATTCTGTATAAAAGATTTTCATACTATGGTTTCATGTTTTCATTTAAATCAAGCAGATCTTAAGGCTTTATTAAACCTACTTAAAGCCACACCAAAAAACAAAGCAACCCATTCCTTCACATTGCTTTCTTTCTACCCTGTTTGTCCATAATTAGCTCTTATCAGATGAGGACAGGAAGAGTTTCTTTAAATGCTCATTCTGTCCTGGGGGGGGGACTTTCTGTCCTTTAAAAGTCAAACATTTTGGATCCACAGAGATCAGATGTTTATGCTTAAGATCTGCTTTTTCTAAGAACATCTCACACATATAGCATCTATAAATTATTAAAAATATATGAGCTACATAATAAAGCCTGAAACATGCTAAACTGTGTCCCACACCTCTTTATATCTTATGAAGGACTTTTATCTGCTGTTGTTTTTACAATGTGGAAACAGTCAGCTGTTCAGCCTGTAAAAATTCCTCAGATGGAATGAAAGCAACGCTGTTAATAGCAAGTTATTTACTGCTCGCAACAGTGTGAATAGCTGCTTGTTTTCTCTACAGGCTGCTATTCCCTGCTCTAGAGAAGCTGTGGATGTGTCTAAACAAGAGGGAGGCTGCAGTCTCAGTCCAGCATGTCCCCCTAACACCCCGCTCGTTATCTGGTTCAAACGTTACTGTTTGCGTTTGCAGCACTGATCCAATAACATTCAAACTGACCCCTCGTGGTGCGACGCTCTCGTCACTTGACAGAGTGGCTTCATTCTTTTTGGCTCATTCACTAGTGTCTTAAGAAGGACAAAACCTGTTTGACTTTCACTGGCTTTTCATGGTTTACTGATAGAAAGCTGACTGTGAGGAGAGACAATCACTCACCACATGAGGCCTGCCTAATGAGCTCCTGTAATCCAGCTTCAGTATCAGTGTTGCAACATTCCTTTGGCATGTCTGTAGTGAGAAACACCTGCTGGTTTGGACAGATTCTGACCCCTCTGTGTGTGTCATCCACCCACCAATTGGAACAAACATATGTGCATAAGACAAAAGCAGCGAGATGAAGTGAAACTGTAGCTGCAGAGTGAGAGGAGGGTCTGCTCCATATATGATCCTTATAAAGGACTAGTCAAGGCGAAGGTTTTCAGCTCAAAGTCATCTTGAAACTGGATCTTCAAAAAATGCTGCAAAACAAAAAGAAAAGAAAACAAAATAAGAATGTTAGTACACCCTAAGGACAATATTAAAGTAAATACATTTGTCAATAATCTACATTTTCTATCTATATGGGTTTAAAAATACAAAGGCGCTAAATCATCTTAAAATATTAACAAGAAACCTGCTGTATAAGTATACATACTTTACAAATTAAAGCTTGTAAAATGATTTAACTATTCATACTTGTTAAGCTTTTTTATAGTCAATCACTACTGTATATAACCTTAAAAATCTAGGGTATTTCACTAGGATTTAGTGTTACAGACCAACAAAAAGCAGTGAATCATTTAAAAAAAATAGCAAAGGGAAACATTAAAAATAAAAAAGTGTGGAGTCCATTAGTATTCAGCCCACTTGAGTTCACTTCTTTGCAGAACCACCTTTTACTACAGCTGCAGGAGCAGCTGTTTTGTGGCACAGTGTATCTCTACCAGCTTTGCATATCTACAGACTAAAAAGTTTGCTACTCTTATATAAAAATGAGTTTAACTTCAGCCAGGTTCAATGAAGCCTATAAACTGCTTTCTTTTCACTGTCCTGTATTTACGACCATCCATCTTATCAAAGCTTTTTTTCTGGAGTACACATTTATTAGTTCTAGCTGCAGATCTGCAGATCCTCCAGTTGGTCCTCACAGTTAGCTTCTGGATGCAATTGGTAGCATCAGACTTCATTAAAGATTATCTGAGAAAGGAGGCTGAGCTCAAATACATGATTTATATGAAACATTCATCATTTTCCTTCCACTTTACAGTTATACCAACAGCATAGTTTGAAGTTTGAGTTTGTTACTTGATCTGATGCAGAAGGATTCATGGATTTTGCAAGAAGACTGGCAACCTGATGCCACGACTCAAGCTTACATGAACATACATCAACACCCGGGGAGAAGCTCAATCCCCAAGTACACAGATTGAGTCAGACGGCTGAAAACAGTGCATACTTTGGGGGACGGTGGGCCATGCTGTGACAGAGGGACAAAGCAGAGCTAGAACTGTCTATAAGATTCGACATAGGGGAATCGGTTAAATCCACAGCAGCTCTTGTAATTAAATCATTTCATCAAATCATCCTTTTGAGACGCATCCCTCCACCTTCTATCTGTTCTTTTCCTCTCGACTTGCTCTAGTGAAAAATACACCAAATGAGATTTAGCATAATGTTTAGTTTCTTTTAATCTAAAAGTCATCTCTGTGCTTTTTTGGAAGCACAGTGTGTTGCATTTTTCTCAGTCACAGCAACATTAGATGTGAGAAGATGTGAGTTAGCTCTTCAGTCACTCTCATCTGAAATATCAATACATTTTTGTGTCTTTCTTTATTCATTCTCTTCTGCTGTGGAATTTCAAGCAATCTTTGATTTGTTTGAGATTATTTAACTATTAAACAAGATGTGAGTCCTTTGGGTCAGACTAAATGGATAATGTATGCTGGCTGAGACGTTTCTGAGAGATTGATCAGAGTGCAACACAGCACAAGCTTTCAAACATGATGAAAAGCCCTTCCTAGAAACTTTCTGTATGTGTCTATAAACCACTAGTTACTGACAGCACAAGGACCACTAACTTCTAAAAAAAATACTGAAAAAAGATACCATTATATTTAGTTAATTTTTGCATACAGTCATGAAAAAGTTTGTTCACTATTTTTTCTTTACTCTTGATACCCGACCAGTAATCAAATAAGTGTGATTTAAGAAAGTGAAAACAAGAAAGGCCTGCTGTTTTTCCCATTACAGTAAATGTCTAAAAGTCAGACGTAAATTAAAATCAATTTTCACTCAAACTGTTTATTACATCATGCTGTGGGGATACTTTCTTTTCAGTGGGGAGGGAGAAGCAGGTCAGAGTCCATGATTGGATAAATGGAGGTGAGAGCTGAGCGTGGGATCGAGGTTTCTCCTCCAACATAAAAACAATCCTAAACTTACAGCTGTAATGGGATGGTTTCGATCAAACCAGTTAATAAATAATTACAATTTTATATCCATCTATCAAATAAGAAAATCTGGAATGCTTTTGCAAAGCGTGATTAGTGTTTGTTTTGGGGAAGAGGATCTATCTTTTCACTGACGTAACAGTAAGTTAATGTGTGGATCTTGCTTTATCTGACCAGAGATCAGATGCAATAACTAGTGGCGCTGGTGCCCTTTCTATCATTTCAAAATTTCTGTGTTTTTCTCAGATCTCAGGAGGGTTTTAAAGAAAAGCTGCTGATTCTGGAGATGAGTGGGCCGCCATCATTGTAACATTGTTAGAAACACCAGGATTAATGCTCTCTCTAATGCTCAGATATTATCACAGTAAAATGAAATCCAGAATAAGCATTTATAGCAGAAATAACTCTGTTTGGTTTCTCCTGAGCTAACAAAGTCTCCTTATATTGGCTCTCACAAACATTCATCCCTCTGTCCCCATCTGAAGACGCCTGTCTGGGGTTCAGACAGTCTTTCATCACTTTAGTCAGATTTCCTCACATCATTTGTTAACTGAGGGTAACAAGCAAAATATTACGTTTCACTGCCAACAGAGTGTTGCCATGACAACAAGCCACCGATGTCACAACGAATGGGTGACTCTCGTCGAGCTGCACCGGCTTTGGTATCCCACAATCCTCCTCCTTTCTTCCGAGGCGTCCACGGGCTCCCTTTCCCCATGTGTAAACCTCCCCTTCTGCAAAAAAAAAAGAAAAGAAAAAAACAAGAAAGAAAAGAGGTGATTATCAAATTCAGAGACGCCCCCCACCTGAACCCCCCTTGAAAGTCTAATCCACACAAATCTTTAAGTGACAGTGCTGTCTCTCCGGTACTGGAGCCTTAATGGCTCTGTCTGTAGGAAGTCTGAGCTGAATAAAGCTGTTCTTCAATAGAGGAAGACCTACAGGCACTGTTGTCCTCTCCACAGGGAGTCAATCGCCGACACAATACAGCATTTCACTGTTTTACACTCAGCATAGAACAAACCCTCACACTTTCAGAGACACAGCAGGCATCTGTTATCTGTCTAAGAGCCGCAAGGTAAAAAAAAAAATCATTCAGATGTTTAAATAGGTTTATCCAATTAGGTAAAACAAATCACATCATGTGCTCCATGTGAGTGTGTGTGTGAAGGGTTGTTTGTCCTTTTTGTCTATGTGTTGCCCTGCAATAGACTGGCGACCTATCCAGGGTGTACCCCGCCTCTCGCCCATGGACAGCTGGAGATAGGCACCGGCACCCCTTGTGACACCGCCTGGGATAAACGTGACAGAAAATGGATGGATGGATGGATGGATGGATGGATATCCCTTTGTGAAAGATAGCTGTCCCTTATACAGAACTGGCTGTGGCATCATGTGTTGCAACATATTATCACTTCATCACATTCTGATGCACAAGGTTCATGAGACGTTGCTGACATTTTATAACCTGTAATGAAATTTTTACCTGACAAAGTAGCTGTTGGTAGCTTTAGTAAATGTATACTAGTTTGTTTATAGTTAGGGAAGGGTCAGGGTAAGTTTTGCATGCACCCTGCACACCAATAAATGGCGAGTGGGATCACAGTAAATCTGGCCAATCGTCAATCTTTGACAATTTGGGTTTGAGAATGAATTGTGCATTCAAGTGCGAGCAATACCTGACAAAGAATGAACAATTCAATGATTTATTCGTCAGTCTCCAATTCAACATTAAACAAACAATCTAATTATCAAACCTGTTATTTGTAATGTTCAATAAACAAACAGTAGTTAATCAGACCAGGAGTTCTTTTTTTTTTTTTTATTATCTTATTTTCATAAAAAGTAAAGACATTACCTAAGGGCTGAGAGAAAATTCAGCAAGGGTTTCTGGCTAACTATAAGCATGCATGTGTTAACAGGCTAGCTAATGTATAATTACAAGCATTCGTTAGAGATAAAAAGAAGCAACACACAAAAGCAGCAGAAACCAAAACATAATATACTAATATGGAATAGTGAACAAAGCTTTATGAACTTATTATTCAACCAAACCACATGATATGTAAAGTGTTTCGGATTATTTCAGTTTCTGTTTAAAAGTCTTCTCATCTTCTCTGATGTCATACTGAAGGTCATGGTGGCCCTATATCTCACTGCCTGGACAATAAAAATAATCCCATCTGTGGGGCAGAAGATATTCCTCTCTCTTGTACGGGGGTCACAGGCTGGCACCGAGCTACAGTACAGAATGCAGCTTCTCCATCTGGGCCACAATGTTGTTTAAATCAATCCTGGAGATGGTGTCCCAGAGAAGAGCCCACAGGTTATCTTCCTTTCAGGCTTGGTCGACGTTGCAATCAGAACGTAGTCAAGTCTCCCATTTTGGCCAGGAAACCTCATATTTTAGCCCTCTTTCACTCCGCCCTCCCATATTAGCAACCTCCCATAAATGTCCTGTGTTATCGTATTATAAAATTAAATAAAAAAAAAAGCATTTGTCTTCCTTCTAAAATGGAATTTCACTAGCAGAGCAAGTCAAAATTTGATCAGCTAATTGTAGTTTGTAATCGGTTGACAAGTGAATATTTTAGATTTATTGAGTACGTCTTAAAATAGACAAGATAATAGAGCTTGACTAGGGTAGTCGGACTGCTAGCAGCACATGTCAACATCGCTTACTATCAAATTCAAAACTTGACGGGTAGGAATAAGAAACAATTGGGAATTTTTGGGAAAATCTCCACTTAAGTGCCAGTGATGCCATATCGTCTCATTCTCATTTCCTTTGTTAAATCACAAAACTGATCATAACTGAGACATAAAGTGCTTGAGATACTGTTCTGGGTTATTTTGTGACCATCAAAAAGAGTAAGAGAGCTCACTGTGGTTCACCAAAGCCTTAAAAATTCATTTCTAACTATTTCCAGACTGATGAAGGTCAGTGACCTTTTCATACCTATTCGAGTTCTGCTTCAGTGATCCTTGATTCTACAGTTTTGGCATTAGCTTGGGCGATTTTACCCAAAATAATCAATAAACCAACTTCTGTCTAATAATAAAATTTGGTTGATAGTCTAAAACATTTAGGTGATCATTAAGTGAATCATCTTTAGGCGATAAACCTCCTTGCAATGTACTTCATCACTAATAGGGAATGATTGTTGTGTGGGCATCCAGTAAATTACAAAAGCGCTCAGATGTAGGACCAAACTGAGATCTAGAGGCTAGGAAAATCTATGAAAAAATAAAAATAATGGACTTTCTGATAGTTACTGTCCTGGGTCAGGCGTGTACAGTGGCAGTTATGGAAAAGTATGCGTTCTCTGCTATTTTGTTCTAAAGCAGCTAATTAAGAGCTGCCACATGCTGCCCCCCTACTGTAAAACCAAAAGACTGGGAATGAACCAATCAGGGTGATTTTCAAAACCTTGCAGTAAACATTTGATATAGTTCATAATTTATATCCTAAATAAGTTGCTAGCAATAACATAGAACACCTACTCACCTGCTCCGATTGCCAGGGTGAAAGCGTCACCACAGGCAGCAGAGGTGATGTCCTTCAGGCCGGGCACCAGGTAGGGCACACGGCTGCTGCGCCGGGAGCTGCAGCCCATCTGACCGTGTTGGTTGCTGCCAAACGTGTAGCACTGACCCTCTTCTGAATATCAAAAAATTAAACAAACAAAGATGCAAGGACAGAAATTAATTCTAACAGTTTAAGTTTCTAACAGGACAGTGTATGAAGCATTCAGTTCCAGGTACGTTTTCATAATATCATCCCTAATTATTGACCTGTGACAGCAACAGAGTGGGCCGTTCCAATGTCGACGTAAACTATCCTGTCTGAGTTGAGTGGGGCGGACTGAACCGGGGTGAAAGAATGAACTTCTTCAACTTGATTTGAAGGATTAGATTCCTCTCCAGCTGTAATCTTATCCAGACCAAGCTTGTTGAACCTAAGAGCAGAAACAAAAGTGGAACAACAACCACCTCCTCACACTCAATAAGTTATTTCCTATACGGTTCAGGTGAGAAGCTATTTTAAATTATAGGAGAATTATATATTTATTAGACCTGTTCCTGTTTCATAAAGAATTAAAATATAACAGACAATTAAGTTATTCTTAAACAAGAATTTTTGCAAAGTTCTAACTTCAGTGGATTGTCTGTAATCCAGAGAGAGTAGAAATCAAGAAGATTGCCTGGCATATAACCCAACAAATACTTAAAATATTTCCTGACCTCCATCTTTTTTTAAGTCATTAAAAAAACTCTTGAATAACTCTGGCTCAAAATTTAATCTCTCTTCTTAGAATTTGTTGACTTATTCAAATTGGCTGGCTTTCTGACACAGAACAGCCTTTCAAACATAAACAGCTGTAGCAGAAATAAGGTTATTAGTAGAGTTAAATTTGAAAGAAGTTAAAGAATTGAGCACATCCTCATCCTTCACTCTGATTCCATCCTCTGTGCAGTAACAATCTTTTTACAACTTAATCTATGAAACATATTTTACTCTTCTCTGATGGTCGTTCTTATAGCATTGTTAGGTTTCAATGCCTTAACGTGACTCATTGAAGAATACCAATAGTCATTTTGGTCCATTAGCTAAATCTGCTTTCATTCCCCCCCCCCCCCCCCCCATACTATAAGTTTAGAGCTAAAGGAGGGTGTACTTTAAAGAAGCAACTTATTTGTTCTTAGTCCATTTTGATGTTAAACTACTACACTACCAGCAGTGAACTGTTTGCTCCAACAGAATCAGTCCATTTAGATTAACTCTGCCAACATTTAACAAACATAGGGTCCAGATAGAAAAACCCCAATAGCTTCTGATAGCTAAAAAATATATTGTTGATGCAATTATAATTTAAATGAATATTTGTAGGGGTGTATTTATACATTCAAGTCTATATTAATTATTTTGACCACGTGTGGATAAAGAAATTCATAATGTTTCTAGAAATAAATGAATGTTTGATAATACACTTGCAAAGATATTTTAGACAGAATTCCCCCATTATGGGACAATAAAGGAATTTTCTATTTTCTATTTAAGATGTTATGTAATATTTACACATTGGACTCACTCTCACTCCCCCACTTCTAACATGGAGATCTTTTCAGGAAGAAATATTTTACTGTCATTTTTGAAGAATGCAGTCACACAGGTTAAGCGTGACACAACTATTTCTTGAAGCTTTTAATCCATCGCTAACCCACACACAGATGTAAAATGATGATGTAAAATGAGCTGGTCATTGTTTCGGGCTCAGAGCGAGATTAACAACCTGTTGCTACCACATGCTAGAATGCAGCACTGGGTGCTGATGATCATGGAGCAGTCAACGCCGCACACCACCTTCTGGGCCTCAAACTCTGCAGGTAGGCACACCTGCTGGGGACAGTTGTGGGTGTCCTGGGTGCCCAGGCCAAGGCGACCTTCCAGACAGAAGGCAAACAGTCATTCTGTCATAAATAGTGGTGTTTAAACAAGCAACAGAATAAGAGAGAAAACTCATCAATTTGTCGTACCGTTGTCTCCTCTTCCCCAAGCAAACACTTCTCTTTCATTGGTTACAGCGAGAACATGAGAGGCTCCACAAGAAACCTGGACCAACTCATAGCCCAGAAGAGCCTCCACAATCTTAGGCTGCATAAACAAAGACAAAAGATAATAGTTGTTAGTATTACTAAAAACAAAAGCATTTTTATGCCGCATGTTTAATGGATTAGTAGATCTGCTGAAGAAGCTCAAGTGAAGCAGCAAAATAGGCCGAGGGCTAAAAACCAGCAGATAGAGGAAAGAAATTAAAATAAAGCTATTAATTGTTTCTGTAGTGTTACATATTTACAAAAAGTGGGGACCATGAGAGACCTTGTAGTTTATAATGTAGGTAAAATGGGCTTCAAGTGTTTGAATTTAAAAGTCTTATTCCTTTTTTAATAGATGTATATTTAGAACTACTTGTATAGTTGTATCTGATTCCCAAATGGAAGGCCCTAGGTTTTATAAAAAAGGAGGAGACAATATCAAAATTGGGGAAATTTTATCTTATTGTCAATTGTAGTCGAGGCAGAAGTGAAGGTGATCGACCTTGCTTCTGAAACAAATAGACAAAGTATGTTAATTTTTATAGATCACATTTTTTAAGACACTTTTATCTCAAAGTCACACAAAGAGAAACTATATTTTCCTCTACGTTTAGAGGCATACATTATTTAAAGAGTTTTTCTCAGCAAGTTTTGTACAACAAAAAATGAAGCTTTAAGTCAGATAGGGTGGTGTCTTGGAAAATATCTCAAGTATGAAACCTGCCAAAAATGACTTATAAGTTTGACTTTTAAACAAATGGTGAAAGCTGTTAGCCTAATGGATGACATTTTTAAATGTCACAAAGTTAGAGAAAATAAGGCTTCAACAGTTTTACTCATTTTATTCTTTTGGCCACATTTTCTGAGGAAAATGTTATTTTTCTACAGTATAAGTACATAAATAGTATTTATACTCTTAGTAGAGTTAGATTAAAATACCTCTAAGTAACAAGCACTGAGGCTTGCATCTCTCTAAAGCAGTTTAAATGAGAAAACATTAAAACCTGTAAAAAATTATTTAAACAACCAATGGACAAATCTTTAATGCTATCACAATCAAACCTTATTTATAAAAAGCAGTTTTTTTTTACATGCTTCTTCTGATTTTCTGAAGTATTTTCTTCGATAATGAGAAGTCTGTGGGGTTAGAAGGCCTTTTTATCATCATCCTAATTTGGTGGTCAGCATTAACCACATATTCTTTATCAGTTCCAGGCTAGAGTATTAGATGCGACACAATAACTGATTCATTTTACTTCAGGTCAGAAGAAACAAACTGGTAAAATGATTAATAATCTGAAGATGAATAATCTGGGGCCTAGCCGTTTACACCAAAATACATAAAAATTTGCTGTGTACAGGAAAAGCTAACAAAGTTATGCAACAGTGCATAGATACAAATTGAGAGAAATCTAAAAGAATATAGAATTTTCTTTCTTCTTAACATAGTTGTCAGTCTCTAATGGGAGAGGCTTTCAGAGTCCTCTGGCTATCGATGAAAAAACTCTGTGACCTCTAATGTTTAGTGTTGCATGAGTCAGAACCAGCAGGGCCTGATCACTGGGAACAGGACAGGTTATATGGTGCAAAAAGATCTGAGATGGATACCTTTGTTTGTCAATTCACAAACCTACAAGTTAGAAACAAGATAGAATAGAAAAGCCCTAAAAACCAGAAGTCATAACTGTCTTGTTTTGAAAAAGCTGTGCACTTTGATTGGATGAAATTATGATTATGTTGTGATAAAAGGAGCTGAATAACACTAAAAGCAGATAAACTAAGGGGACAATTTTTAAGGACACATACATATTTGAAGTCCTACCTGTGTTACATCATTGAAGTTACCATGTCCCAAACAACCATTGCTTCCACTTCCAAATGTCATTATAATACCCCTGTCTGAAAAGCAAAAATAAAAAAACAGGGGATTAACTGCATTTTGAGTTGATGAGTCTACAAATAATGCTGCATTGATTAACAAAACTCTCCTTTTTTATATGTAGTGAATGTTTAAATGTGTCATCTGGGAACAGTGAGGATTGAGAGAGGGAAAAACATAAAATGAAAGCGTATTTAATCCTGTGTGATCTGCTTTGCAGTGTCTGACAGGCTGACAAAAGCCACCTGCAGCACATTGACTGATGGGGCACATCAGTCTGAGCTCAAGAAAAGAGGCTCTGTCAGAATGCCAGACAATCAAAACATTTATTACTGTACACTTAATCACAAAAAGAAACACCCTGCTGTATTTATGCTTTTTTTTGTCCTAAGATGCTGTCTTGATATTTTATACTCTGTGAAAGGTAAGAAAAGCTAACCTAAACATTGGCTTTTCTTAGGTTTCTCTGAGCAGTACAAAGCAAAGGAGATCACTCACCTGTCATGCAGGTGGTAAACAAATCACCGCAGGACACAGACTTGATGGTGACACCTGACTGACCCTCAAGGAAGCGAGAAATGAACAGCGGCTGCATTTGATCCGCCAAACCTGCAGGACCGGTATCACCCGACACAACCGATGGAGCCTGTGACAGAAGAAGACTGTGACTGGAGAAAATTACAGTCACCCACCGCAATATGCTTTTAATGACTAATAGGTCTATGTATGCTTTAATATATGTAATTTCTAATATACCTGTTTGCAAAAGTTATATATCTTAACGTATACTGCTTAAATAGATGAGAAACCAAAAACGCACTAGTGACGACTTTGTTGTTATTTCTAAACTTACAATATTACAAGTTGCAGAAATTTGGTAACCATGTTTAGTTTTAATAATGTAAACTCTGAGAAGGTCCTCTGGTCAGATCAGACCGAAATGTTTTGGGATGTTTGGTAAAGGGACGATGACATATCATCTCACTTTCTGCTGAACAATCTCTCCCCATGATAAAGCATGGTGGGAGGACCAATACAAAATATTTATTCAGCAAGGACAAGGAAAGCAATCAGAGTTGATTTTTTTTTTTTTTTGATGATGATGATGATGATGATGATGATGATGATGATGATGATGATGAAATAGAACAGCAGAGGAAAACTGGTCAGAGGCTCCATAAGTAACTGGGACAGAGGTTCACTTCCAGCAGGACCACAACCCTAATGATACAGTCGGAGCTTGATTTCATTTAAACCAGTTTTATATTTGTGAGAAGGACAAAGATAAATCAAGCAGAGAAACTGGCTAAAAATGACCTATTCTACAATAAAGCAAAAACAACCTCAGTCTTTGGGTGTAACCGGCTTGTAGAGACAAACCTTTAAAAAAATCGCAGAGATTCTAATTCAGGTGGTTGATTTAAGGGGCTAAAAATAAGTAAATATATATTAATTTTCCTCCATGAGTATGTTCTAATTTGCTTTGGAAGATAACCTACAAACCCAGTAAAATGCATTTAGGTTTGTCGTTTTAATGTAGCAAAGAAGGAAACTAACAAGGAACTATAATTTGCTCCTTCAGGGAGTTATGGAAGTATGAAAGTTACCTCCCAGGTAATCAGACGGCCAGACTTGGTGACTCCCATCTTTTGAGTCCGGCCGAGAGACACTTGAAGCACTTCAGTGTTAAGCATGGGTAGACGGAGAGGCGCTGTGATCCCACTTCCCCAAGTATACACAGAGGACAGTGGGAGCGGATGCAGTTTTCCTGATCCCAAACCCCCTAATGCATCTGTTTAACAGCAAGAAGAAATAATCTGTTAGAGTCTCATAGTTAGAGCTTAACTACACAAACAATAGGATTACCTCTGGCCCTGGTAGTAGGAACTCTCCCTCCTGGTCTGCCGCGCTGCTGCACAGTAGACAGAGGTTTCTCAATTCTGCAACAAAAAAAAAAGTTACAGGTCCTTATTACTGTACCAATCAATGAAAACCCACAAGCTCAATTATGTATTTCCTATCAATCATCCAAATCATAAGGACCTTCGCATTTTTACATTCCCGATATCTGTGTAGAGATTAAGGAGGGGCCTGATGCAAATGGGCAAAGCCATTATTTCATTGAGCTGGGGCCTTTTAGATGGATCAAGGTTGAGCATATTGAGGATGAGCTGGCGGAGTTCTGGGCTGTAACGGTCCGATATCGGGGCAAACGTTCCACTCATGATCTTCAAAACAAGGGCAGGTAGATTCTGGGAGAAAAAAAGGAACAGGATAAATCGACAATTTAAAATGAGCCAAAATTTAGGGTCCTTCTATTAGCTTAAAAGGACAGATGTGAGCATTAAAAAAAACTTTTAAATTAATTATTTCATTGTGAATGAAGCACAGCAGCCATGTTTTTAAAAAGGGATTCATATCTTTCCTGGACAGTAGTTAATGTATTATACATTAGAAAACCTATTATCACTATAAAAGCCAAAAAAACAGCAGAATTTTAACAGCATCTTAAAACACAGAGAAGAGTTTCTGATACCGCTGCCTCAAAGGCCCTCTTAAGGCTCGCCAGCTCATACAGGACACAGCCCAGGGCCCAGATGTCACTTTTTTGGTTGTACGGTTTTCCCTCACACAGCTCTGGCGAGATGTAGCAGGGGGTCCCGACTACCTGCACAGCAAAACAGGCAGCCGTTAATAGAAAGACAATCTCACACCTCTAATCAGTGATCCTAATCATTTTCATATCTTAATTCTGTGCTTTCCACAATTTACTTGGTTCACAATCCAACAACCACAAACAGATTAATTGCAGGTCCTAAACCAAAAAAAAAACAACTACAGATCACCGTGTATGCTTTGCTCTTGCTGACGAGGATTTTGGAGATACCAAAGTCTCCGATTTTGACGATCATCTGGTGTTTGTCCAGCAGAATATTCTGAGTTTTGAGATCACGGTGCAGAATGAGTTTGTTATGCACGTGGTACAGAGCGAGCAAGATCTGCACAAAGAAGTGAAGGATGGTGTCCTCATCCAGGAGGGAATTACAGCGCTTCTGTATGTATTCAGCCAAGGTTCCTCCTGCAGGAAAAAAGAACGAACACAGTCTCTAAAACTGGAGGGAAGGGAAGCTGAACTGGGAGAGATAGAGCTATAAAAGCAAATAATTAATTATTTTAATAGCAGATTTTGTTACTGTGAGCTTAATAAAAAATAGAATCCATAACCTTAACATGTAAAGCAACGATTATCTATATATTTAGACTTTTACAACTGTTAATATTAAGGAGCTTCAAGATTGTAACTTAAACATTACTTTTACCCATCAGAGAGGCATATCTGTGAATAGCAATAAACCATTTAAGCAACCAACAGGAAAACATAATAAAGAATCAACCGGAAGCAGTTTGATTCCGGCCAAACAACACGGCCTAGAAACTTAAAGGTTGACCTTCCGATGTATCAATGATTGTCACTTATGAGCGGCATTTATACAGAAGGTTTATTTGGGCTAAAAACAACCAAAAGGGTTAAAAAAAATTTTTTTTTAATTCAGCAGTAACTACCGTATATTATTAGAGATCCTCCATCATATCTTACAGTAGACATAAAAGTGGCTCTCACATATCCATCCTTTATTTCAACAATCAAAACCAGAACAGAAAGCACAAAATGCTTGGTTTAAATATAAAACCTGCTTAAGTTTGATTTTGTATTTATTTTACTAAGTTATATTGTAAGCACACAAAGATAAATTAGAAAGATTAGAAATTAGAAGATAGCTGTAGAGGAAATATTTAAGCACATCTAAAGCACAGAAAATAAGACTTTTATTTTTTGTAGTATTCCAAATCACATCAACATTTCAAATGACTGGCAAAGCACGTAAATTAACGGCCCAATGAGATAATGAAACACCTTTTAAAGATGGTTTAAAGCTGTTCTTTTATGTCTGACAATGTAGACAGCTTAAGCTTTTAATCTGATGATTTTAGGGGGGTGAAGAAGCTAGTTATGGCACTGAACTTTGAAATCACAGCTGCAAACCTGTATAATTTACCTCAATACACAGTCCTGCAAAATACACAGATGGTCTCAAGAGGTTTTCTCAGGCCTCATGTGTGAAAGGGGGGATGCGTGGAACCCATGGGAAAAGTAAACTGAGCTGCAACTCTAAAAAGAGGGCTGTGTAATTGGAGAAAAGCTAACCTGGTGCATACTCCATAGCTATCATGAGGGCCTTGTCCTCCAGGAAGTTTTCATAGTACTCTATGATGTTTGGATGGTGGAGCAGCTTGAGCACTTGACACTCATTCTGGGCTGCCAGGCGTTCATCTCGTGACATCTGCTCTACTGGGATCTCTTTCAGGATGACAAAGGCCCCGTCGCTGCGCCTGCGGCACAGGTGAACAATCCTGACACACCAAGAGATGAAGACAAAAAAATAAAATAAAAAATAAGAATTGGCTACACAGTGTTTCTTCTAAATGAAAAACAGGGACGGGGGACTTCTGGCAGTTTGGTTTTGGTGAGATCATCACAACATGAAATAGATACAAACTCAAGGGTGAAAACAAATGTATTTAGTTTCTCTAAATTGGTAGCCGCAACATTTTTCACCCCTCTTTAGTTTTTCTCCATTTTGAAAAATTATATCAAATAAGGCGAATGATATGTGATAGATCAACAAAAATGACTCTACAACCCCAAAGGGAATGGGAAATTCTGAAAAACCTTCACAAAGTTGCATCAATCAATCTGCAGAAAATGAGTCCTCCCCCTTATTAAACATTTTGTACAATCCAATAGTGCTGTAATTACATCTGGGATGCTTTTAAGGTACCATATTTCTCCAAGACAGAATAAAGAAATTATCTCTAGACATCTACAGTAAATCTCTGCCAGTTCATTATCTTAAATTCAGTGATTTTGACCGAACCATTCTTACACATAAATATGAATTTTGTCTTAACCATTCTCTTTTGGCTCTAGTTAAATTTTTTCCACCAGACCTGATAGTGTTTCCTCACATTGTTTCAATTATCTTAATGATTTTTCACAGAATTGCTCTGCATGTACCCCATCAATCTGCTGAAGAAGGCCTACTATCATCGCTGCGTTTTATAATAGGGATGCTGTACCTAGGGAATAAAATATTTTGCTCAAATAAGGTCCCTCTATGAAAAAATAAATCTTTTATTTTTAATAAATAAATTTAAAATCCTTCTTTTAATTCGAAATTGAGCAAAAGGAGATCTTTTTTTCTTTAGAAAATACTTTTACCTCATTTAATACTTATATTCAACTTTATCACTGCTTGTGTTGGATTTGCATTTATGATTATAGGGTCTTTATGAATCAAACACATAAAGGGCTGTGAATAACATTAATATTATGTCACCCCTTATAACCCTGCTGTCTTTTAGCCCTTTGAATTGGACTCATTTGTTTTTCAACTAATTTGTTTAGCTTTTATCAATTCAAGACAACTATAACAGGATGAATTATTCATGTTTCCACTTTAAAAATAAAAAAATTTCGGAAAATGTCCGGCCCTCGTTTATCTCCTCCCTCTTTTCCCCTCATCAGGAGGCAGACATTCCGTTAGATTCTCTAAAGGGAAAACTTTGCTTTTAGCGACTTCTAGTTCTTTAAATAAACTCCTAGCAGCTCAGTTTGTTCACAAAGATGAAATGTTTTGAAATTAAACGACTTTATTGTGCAAAGAAGAAGCGAGTTTACCCGAAAGCTCCTCTCCCAACAACTTTGATTTTCTCGTACTTCTCCATCGCAGCTGCGCCTCAAACGTCTCTAAACGTCTCCTGGCAACCAAGCCAGAGCACTACGGCATCCAGCGAGGGACGAAATAAGAACTCGTATTCTTTTCGCTTTTTTGTTATTAAATGATTATGTTACAGTTGTTCGTTTTTTCTTTCGTTTTCTCTGGTTGCTTTGGTAGATAAACATTGCACACATTACATTACACACATATTTAATCATAAATTTAATGTACTAAGATTCACAATTCAAATCATTTTGGATTCATTTATTGCTCAAAGACAATACCCTAGCCTATAATGGCAGTAGCTCAGTAAAATTCTGTATCAAAATGTAAAAACTGAAAGGCACGCCCTATATACCAAGCCATGCATTAGATAATATATTTTTGCATATTTAAAAATACAAGTTTACATTAAAACCTTGCATCATCATGTGATGTTGTAAAAAAAAAAAACAAGGATGATAAATGACAAGGTTCCTATAAGTACCATAGGTAACGTCCAATTTCTGTATCAGCAATGTGGTTTTAAAAAGTAGACTTTTATTAAAGCGTGGGGAGATTTAAAAATGTCAACAATAAAAAAACAGAAAGAAGAAAAGTCATACAAGGTCATATGAAGTCATGCTGTCATTAAATATGAAGCATGATTCTCAGTAAAGTTTCATAGTGTTAGATTCAAAGCAATGCCTCTAGATTTTAAACCCCAGAAAACACTACCAAAACACCAAAATAAATAATCTAGTGCTTACTGTGAACTGAGGCAGGGGTCTCTGAAAACAGATTTGTTTTGCTATGGGTATGATTGTAGATGTTTTAAAAGGAGTCTGGGGATAATGGGTGGACTGTTAAAGAAATAAAGGGGAACATGTGCTATTTCATTAGCACAAGCTTTGATCTCTTGTACCAGGATGCAGCTAAAATCTACTGTTTGTCATCAAGCGATTTGTTTAAGCTTCAACTAACACTCGGATACAGCAGACTATGGCTGAAAGATTTTGCCAAAAATCTAAATTATTAATTGTTTCTAACCAAAATTGCAACTGAGATTTAATTTTCTTCCGTTGCACTGAACCCAAGCTTGAAGATGTTTCATCCCAAACTTTTAGTTTTTGAACCCTTCGTTGCCCAGAGCCCATTGTTACAGACTTGACTGTATCCTTTGTGTGAAAAAGTGCTTACTTCTACTTTCATGCATGGATCTATGTGCTAGCCGCAACTCTCTCTACTTTTCTGTGACCACTAACATAGTGACACCAACTCATTTGGAGTGTTTTATCCACTTAAATGCCTTGGGTGATAAACTTAGTGTCCTACTTTTGTTAAATACAGTTTGATTAAACAAAAAAATTTTTACGTCTGCAATTTGAAAATTGCAATTTGGTAAATTGCGATTATATTGCAAATGTAAAAAATTACTCAGCCCTATTGGAGATACATACAAAATAATACACTGTATTATTGACTTTTACTATAGCCAATAAATGATATTTCTGAGTATGACACCAAGAAATAAAAAAAAATAAAAAAACTGACAGGTTGCAAGATATCGGAAGTTTGAATCAAAGGTAAGTGTATTTTTTACATTTTCTAAATATAATCTCAAACTAAACTAACTGCCTTTAGTTTCAGTATCTGCATCTCCTTGTCAGAAATAGATTCTGCCTGGACCCATCCAGGTTATATAAGGGCGGTTTAGAGGTGGTGTTGTTATCAGTGAATCACTTCAGGTTTTGCAGCCTTGCTTCCATATTTCTGGTAATTATAAGGAGTCTTCCCTGTAGCCTTAGCAGGAAGGGCAGTGTGTGACCACCGTTTCTCCTGTCTGCCATGATGAGATAATAATGCATTGTGCTGTGACAAAGCCTGCTCTGTGGGCTGAAATACATACTTCCTCTATCATTATCAATCTGAAATAATTATGGATTACCACACACAGTCATCTACATGTAATTGAACCTTTCCTCAATTCCTGTCTCTTCATTTAAATAAACCTCCTCAGATGGAAGTTAGATTAATCTCTTGTTTGACAAAAAAAAAAAAAAATCTTTACATTCCTTTCTCAGGGATATAATATGGCAGCAAAGGAGCCTTTGGGTCTAGATGTGCCACTCCTCAGACTTGCTCAGTCACATATTTAGCCTTTTGTCAAAGGCCTGCCTCTCAGTCAGTGTCAAGGAATGCTACATGTTTGACAGTGAAACTGAGGCTGGTTTTCAAGCATGCGGCCATGCCTGAGGAGCTTAATCTTTTTAATCTGTGGAAGTGTCTCAACAATAATGACAGGAAGCTGTGGGTGGCTTCATTTATTACTTAGAACAAAGTAGCTTTCTGCATTTTAAAAAGTACAACTCAGTAGCAGAAAAAAGTAAAACCATGCATTTAAACTCTGAATGAGATAATAGACTTCTGAAAACACTTCTCTATATCTAATTAATTTGGTGTTAGTGGGGAACGTGTGCAAACGCAGTGCCTTGAGAAAATATTTATAACCTCTTTTCACATTAAAACAAAGAAGCACGGCTTACATATCTGTTTAGTCTCCTTTCCTCTGACAGTAAGTAGTACTAACAACTGCTTTATTCTTCATGGTGGGCTGGTACCTACGTTACTCCTAACAGGTTTAAGAACTGTGAGGATTGTTCGATTTAGTTTGCAGTACCCAGATTGGGGAATTCTCTCCCATTATTTTAACAATCAAATCACAACTAGAGCAATATTACAGATAGGCTGAAAATTAATTGTGTTTACTTATTTTGCTTTTCTTACGCATTTTTTTTCCTAGCACTTTGTGATCTTATCTGAGAAAGTTAGAATACAAATAGAATTTTACTGTCTTACAAGGAATATTAGTTTTATTTGTCTAAATCTGTTATTGCTGGAAATACAAGAAGAAACCTAAATTGGAATATGAATTACTCTGCAGTCATGAATGGAAAATTAGGCTTCTTTACCATTGCCCTTACCTGTAAATTCCATACAATACAATAAAACTTTACTTATTAAGCACATTGAAAACAATTCTGTTGGCCAAACTGCTAGACGCCAATAAACTAATATAAAAAAGTGTGCTTAGCATAGTTAGGGGAGTGTTTGTCTAGTGGTTAGATCAGTGCGGTTGAGAGTAGCCGGTTCGATTCCCACAGCCTCCACTCTGGGTTCCTGAGCAAAACCTTTAACCCCACACTGCTCCCCGGGCGCCACACAATGGCAGCCTACTGCTCCCCAAGGAGATGGGTTAAATGCAGAGGTAAATTTCTCCAATAAATCCTAATAATAATCCTTTAATTAATTATCAGCAGATCTTGCATAAATACAATAGTTCTAGATTCACCAAACATCAAAATACAATTAAACAAATAAGAATAGTTCAGTTAATTAAATAGGAGCTTGAAAGAATTAAGAGTCAACTGAATTAAAAGCCGAACAGAAAAATAAAAAAATAAAGAACAGCAGGTGAGACTGCCTGTCTAATTTGCTATGGGAGCTTATTTTAAAATTTGAGACTAGCAAATGAATTGATAACAATAAAATACAGCCATACTTAGAAAAGCTATTTTAAATCAGTTATGTAATTATTTTGCAGAATTTCTGGCCCCTGCACCAATATTTGGCTCAATCATTTTCTTATCAAAAGAATGTGTGATGGTTTACCACAACACCTAAAAAATTACTTGTAGGAATTAATTAAAAAGTCAAGTTCTTTTATATTTCACAAAACCAAGTAATGGCTTGCGTATTTATGGTTTGCTTTTATTTAACGTCCAGGTTTTTCTCTGTGTTTGCAAGTCTCCAGCTGTGGTTTGTCAGCTATTCAGAGAAGGGGAAAAAATACCACATGATCAATATGGCTGTGCCACAAACCAGAAACACAGGTTCAAAAATAGATCATAAGCCAACAGTTGCAGCTGTTATTTCTGCCTAAAACCTTCTGTACCAGAAACTGAAGTTTTTTTTGTTTGTTTTTTTTATCCTAAATTTTCAACAAATTATAAGTTTCTGTTTTTTGAAAAGACAAAGAGAACAAAAGTCCTTCGGTGTCTCTCAGTAAGGAGGCCAGGAAACTGAATCTTGAGTTTTGAATTACATCACTAAGTGCAGCTTGTTCTCTGTTCCACAGGGTCAGTGGAAATGTGTCTTAATTACATGTCTCACCTTCTGAACTTGAAGGCCCTGCAGGTCTAACCTCTGAAGGCGCATTTAACTTAGTCTGTTTAAACAGCACAAACTATTTCAAGTAATCGAAATGAATAGAGCTTGGGTTGTTTTTGAGTTTAATGAAGAAAAAAGAAAAACATCTTCTCTAACGTTTCACATCAGATGATTGAGCTGGAACGCGCCCTCTGGTGGTGAGATAACAGAGTTTATTTAATTCTGCCTAATTGTCAATTGAAACCTTGCTGCCATCTAATGGTGGATAGATAGATAGATAGATAGATAGATAGATAGATAGATAGATAGATAGATAGATAGATAGATAGATAGATAGATAGATAGATAGATAGATAGATAGATAGATAGATAGATAGATAGATAGATAGATAGATAGATAGATAGATAGATAGATAGATAGATAGATAGATAGATAATATTACTTCACAAATAGGACACAAAAACTACCGATATGCAATGACTAATATGTAACCAAATCTTAAATGTAATCAAATATCAAAATCAGATAAGAAGGTATTTACATATTTGTCTCCGTGTCTAGTAAAACTAAAAAAACAAAAGACCCCAATTAGATTAGAAATAGTAGAAAAATACAAATAATTTGGCACCTTTAAAAAGTTCAAAATAAAACATCTCAATACATCGCAAAGGTCTCAGCAATAGTATGAAAACATTTTGTTTATTAGAATAAACTAACCAGCTACTAGCTTTAAACATCTGAAGTAGGTGAGTTTCAGAATCATAAGAAAGTTTGCACAGTGAACAACATTTAAAAATGAACTAAAGAACAGCCTTTTCTCTGTATATTAGCACCATAGTGTTTCTGCTTCTGTGATTTAAGCTGAAAATAAGGGACATTCCTCTATCCTTTTGAAAGTTGACAGTTACCATATAGGAAAAAAAAACTATGGCAAGCAAAAAAAAAAATAAATAAATAATAATAATAATAAAGATTTACGAGTAAATTAAAGCACAATAATCACAACTTTACAAATGTTTCTAAATTAAATGGCTATACTAACCTCTCTGAACTCCCTAAATCCTAAGGCTTGTTAGAGTTCCATGCAATTGTAGTCATGTCTGTATATTTGAGACAATTAAATGAGAAATTGGAGAACTTTTTTTTTTATTATTATTATTTGGAATAAGTCTGTTTTGCTCAAAGATTATACATTTATATTTTAATGTATACACTCACCGGCCACTTTATTAGTACACCTTGCTTGTACGGGGTTGGACCCGCTGTGGTCTTTTGCTGCTTTAGTCTATCTGCCTCAGAGTTCATACCCCGGTTACAATGAGTGATTATTTGAATGATTGTTGTACCTCTATTAGCTTGAGCCAGTCTAGTCATTTTACTCTGACCTCTGGAGTCAACAAGGCATTTTTGCCCACAGAACTGCTGCTTAATGGATATTTTCTCAGTTTTGTCTGTCTGGCACCAACAATCATATCATTTGCATATAATTTATTCATAATAAATGTCTTCTCTTTTATGTCTTTGGTATTGGAGCCAAAACTGGGGCCAGAACCATTTCAACAGGTTGTTACTAGTAAATACTTAATTCAATGCTTATTTCAATGCTTATTTTCATTTATTTGTATAAAAATGTGTTTGTTTTGCGGGGTAAATTATATCATATGAAAAAAATGATATATAAAAATATATATATCTATATCTATCTATCTATCTATCTATCTATCTATCTATCTATCTATCTATCTATCTATCTATCTATCTATCTATCTATCTATCTATCTATCTATCTATCTATCTATCTATATCTATAGATATATCTATATATCTATAGATATAGATATTTCATTTTTCTTGAAATTAGGTAAGTGAGACACTTTGCCAATGGAACAATACAATCTACAAATAAAATAAGGAAAAACAATTGCATTTTCTTATATATATATATATATATATATATATATATATATATATATATATATATATATATATATATATATATATATATATATAAATGCTTATACATGTATGTTTCTCTGCAAGTCATCTGAGTGTCTTCAGTAAAATTATTGATAAATAGCTATTTTCATAAAATATATCAAATAATCAATTTATGTAGATATTTGTAGCCTACTTGTAAATATCAATTTTATGCAGAATGATTATTGATCAAAGTAGGTAAGTAATGACAATGGAAAAGATATTCACCCCAAAACTCAAAGAATTGTATCCACTATACCTTTTATCTAGAAAGCACAGATGTTTAAATATTTATGTGTCAGCAAAGGTTGTAGAAAAGTATAGTTAGTCTTTATCTAGAAAATATGGATGTTGTGCCCAATCATTTTCCTGTTGTAGATTGACCCTGAGGTTCTGGTGCCTATCAACTTTCGGCCATCCCTCAGTTTACATTGGTTACTGCCTGGGCACCCTTATAAAAAAAATGTCTGGCTACGCCTCTGCTGTGGTCTGATGAGAAAATCCAATTACCCAAACAGTCACTGACATTTTAGCACGTCACGTGCGCCCACGAGATCAAAGAGGGACAAAGAAAAAACCCCAATAAGATCCACTGCAGCCATTCGTTTCATTTTTATTTCTCATTTCTTAGCTTATAGCACATTTTAAGCAGCCCTGTGCTGGATTCAGTGATTTCTGTTACTTGCGTAACATAACCGCGGTGGCGCGTCTGCCCCTCCTTGTTCCTGTGAAGCAGCTGCGCCACCCCATCCTCCCCCTCCCTCCCTTCTCCCGTCATTCTGCACAGACAGCCGAGCTGAACGCATCATGTTTACGAGACGCAGTGTAAAGAAAAACACCTCAACACTGGAATGATCCGACCCGGTTATCCTCTGCTGGACCTGGATCAGGACCTGCGCTAAAAAAAAACCATCTCATCCATCAGCTCTGCGGTGATTTGAGCGGAGGATCCTCTTCTGCAGCTCCAGTCTCTCCTCTTCCTGCAGACCCCCCGGTGTGCACAGCCCTCTCATCACACGGAGAAAACCTTTTTACACTGAAAAAACCCCCAACAAACCGGTTCTGTGGGGCAGCAGTGGGCGCTTATATAGAAGCAGGGACGTAAAGAAGAGAATGGAGGCCCTGCTGCCTTTGCTGAAGAGCCACCCGGGCCCCTCGGTTCTGGTCTGCTCTCTGCTTTTCAGGGTGGCCCACCAGCTGCTGCAGAGGCTGCCTGTCCCTAAGGTGGTGCAGCAGGACGCCTTCCGTTCCTGGAAGTGGAAGAACCTGTCAGTGTCCATGGTGCACTCCCTGCTCACTGGGACATGGGCCCTGACCTGGTGAGTGTCCATCCAGGGCAGACAGCTGCCTCACCAATCTATGCGTCCATTTCACACTGGGGTGGCATTGTCTATTCACGGTTCACATAATATTCGATGTGTGGGAGAATGTGTGTGTGCAGCAGTGACAGCCTGTGGTAGCCAGGAGAAGATGAGGGCATGTCCAGACTGAGCGAGGGATGGGGGAGAGACAATGGCATTCTTAGGAGGGGAGGGACATGCCTGTGTACAGTGGGAGACACAGAGCTCTGCTGCTTTTGCTCAATTAATGAACAGCTAAGCACTTTTCCCCTCACATCTGAGCCACAAACAGAAAGACGAAAAATATCAACAGGAAAAACCTGCTGGCTTATTGTGAAAGCATTTAGAAAAAAACGTTTTTTTTTTTCAGATCATGCACATGACTCATCTTTTGACATGAGGAGCCGGTAGTAAGGCTCATGCATTCAAATCCCTCTATGATTTTAGGTAACTCTGAATCAGGCTTGTGAAGGAAGAAATGAATCAGTAATACACAGCACAATACGCCACCGGTCTTTCACTGTGGCATGTTTACACAGGGAGGCACTCCCAGAAAATCCTGAATTATTAGGTGTGTGTGAAATAAAATGAAAGCAGAGGTAATCTTTATCACTCACAAGATAGTATCTGTTACAATGATCAAATGACATCTCTCAAAAGTGTAGGGAACCTGCTCACATATAAGGCTTTCCAAAGAGAATTGGAGAAACTTTGTGAGGCACAGTGGGGGAAATATTGCAAAGTCATGCTGTGGGATCTTACAAACTTGTATGAAAGAAAACAAGATCCTGAGACCGGATCAAACTATGAGCTCTTTTTAAAAATATTTTCTCAGGTAGATTCAGTTATTTTTCAGGTTGATTGTGAAGTAATAATCTTAGAGTGTGAGAATATTGCAGATATAATTATAGTTTTTTGTTTCGTTTTCTTTGCTACTAACTAATTGGTGTGTGCAGTTCTATGAGCCACCACACCTATAACGCATCTGCTAAAAGCAATCATGTCTGGTGGTTGGGGGATGTTTTAAAGGGCATGACTTACTGATATCTCTTAATGAGGCAGTGTTTGTCTGACTCTGGTGAATATTCAGGACGATTAATCCATAATGTGTATCCTTCTCTACAGTGTGGTGATCTGGCCTGAGACGCTTAGCAACATCCATAAGTTTCACACCCCTTTGTCCTACGTGCTCATCTGCGTCTCCACAGGTCAGTACACACAGATCTGTTATTTTTTACAAATTTGACAATGATGTCACAGAACTGTTGTGTGCAGCATACTGTATAACTGTGTGGCGAAAAAGAATTGATTTGCATAATTTTCTAAAATCGGTAAATAATAATAAAACCAATAAAAAATAAAAGATTATGACTTTGTTACCCCTCAATAAAAAAGGTGTAAATAATTGTCTTTAGGTTTGACCTTATTGGGATAAACAGTGAATGTGTTAATCCAGCTGCTTCCTGAAAGCCTCAGAAGTTTGGAGATCCGTCTTCTAGCAGGAAATTATATACACATACTATGTTACTGAGAAAAACATCTTCAAATACAACCATAAAAGCATTCTAAGAGCGCAGAACTACGGCAAGTAGCTCATTTCCACCGACATGTTGTGACTTCCAACTTAAGTTAATACCTGTATTCATAGAATCTTTCAAAAAATTTCCTGGATTCAGTTGTTGATCTAGATCATCACCAAAACTCAATATGTTATCATTAGTTGCCAGTCACAATATGCACATTCTCTGAAAATGTCTGCAAAATACGACCATAGTCATTTTTGTTATTTAGAAGACAGATAAACAGACAAACCAATGCAGATGAAAACATATCATCCTTGGCAGATGTAACAATATAGGCCAGGTGTTCTTCCTGATAGTGTTTATTTGCTCATTTTTTGGCCTAAAAAGAATTTTTGCGCTGCCGGTATCAGCAGAGATAAATATTGTTGTACACTGTCGGTATCTTGCAGTACCTTATGATACATCCATCAATTTGGTAGCTTCTGCACATTTAGCTCCCATTTTAGTGAATATGAATGTTTGTATTGTATTTCAAGTGCTAATTATCTTGTATTCCTGTTGGAGTTCGGTATTTTTTAGCTTTTTCTACACGTGATCTTGGATTTTTACCTTACCCACTGGGTAAAAGCTGGCCTGCTTGTCTCCCTTACTTTCCCCTTTACTCATTGGCACATGCGCTGTCATTCCTCTGGTCACATGGGCTTAAACCACATATAAGTTTGCTAACAAATAGTGCAAAAAGAAACTATTTTGTAAAGCTACAGTATGTGACTTGTCCCCTTTAACACATATGGCATCTCATATGAGTCTGGCATCAATCGAGACCTATTTTCCAATCACGAACCTTTTGCAAAACTATGAAATCCATTATTAATGACCCCGTTTTTATAAAGCTGGAGGAGAGCTACCTTAAAACACTTTCAGTTGTAATTTGCGACTATCAGTTTCGCTTGTTAATTAGGATTTTAGTTCTGGGAACCAAATATAATTTTCCTTCTGCACATCTTACCGTTATGGGACACTACACTGTATGTTGATCTTTCACATAAATTAACAACTAAATACTCTGAAGCTTGTGGATGCGATGCAGAATGTTTAAATATTCAAGAAGTATGGAAACTTTAGCAAAGCCTTTACAGCCAGAGAAGCATTATTTATTTTAATTTTAGTGTTCATACAAAAAAAAAGGTTTTGGCTTTAAATAGTTACATATAAGGAGTTATCGCACTTACATGCTGTTGTGTGACAGGTAAAGTGTTGGAGGTTTAATCGTACCTCTTTTATTCAACTGTCTACTACTACTCAAGAAGTGTATAATTAAGTCACTCTCTGTTGTTCAAAGCTGTCAGCAGCTCCTTCTTTAATCCTAACAGGCGAATGCCATGGCCACCAAAAACAACCTGAGTCTCAGTGGTGCCTAAACCTCTTCATGTTTCTATGAGAATACAACTCTATAGAGACCCCCCCTCCCCCAACCCAACTACTGTTAACAGGCAAAGAAAAAACCTGCAAGATTTTGCATGTTTATAGACCTGCTTTGAGTGTCTTTGAGTGCCACGCATGGAAACCTTTCCAGTCAGGAAAAGTTTCAGCTGAATCTGGCTGTCACAGTATAATCACCAAATGAGAACTGTCTAGTTTGCATGTCTGAATATGATGATGAGAGACATTTCCTTCTCCTGTCAGAAGAGCTTAACAATCGCTGAGCCCTGATGACACTGGATGACCCTGACTTCATGAAATGTTCCTGTAATATTCTAGATTATCTCATGAAATTATCATCTGTTAATGACTACTTTGGCAGCCATGGATCAGTAGACATTTCTGATACTACTACCTGGAAAAGCGACCTAGAAGTAAAATGTCTTAAATTAAGTGTATTTACCCTTAATTTGAGTAGTTAAATAAGGTGGTTTGCCAATGGAATGAGTATTTTTACTCTTGAAATAAGATAATTAGATGAAATACAAGTGAAATAAGACAATGCAATTGTGTTTTCTTATTGTAAGTGTAAATTGTCTTGTTCCGTTGGGAAAATGTATATTTTACCTTCTCAATCCAAGAACAAATGCACTTATTTAAGAAAAAATTACCTATCTAGATTTAGATTTTTTTCCAGTGTACAACCTGGAGTGAAACTGCTACTATTTCATTGATTTTTTTACAAAAATGAATTTGAACCTAAAAAGCAAAACTTAATTTAAGGTTTTTTTTTTGAGAAATTTGCAGTGCTGTATGTGTGTGTCCCCCCTTACAAATAATATGAAATTTTGGTTTTCATCACATTTATATGTTCCTAATGATAAACAGATTTTAATAGACATTATCAGACATTATTCTTTATTTTCAGATCCCAACTCCGAATTACATATGCACTAAAAGCCCCTTTTTTCTCAGCTCTTTTATCTTTTTATAGTTATATTTATATAGTTTTTTAATCATCCACAGTATTTATTTTCAATCTAACCTACATACCGATGTCGCTGCACCTGGTAGCCAAGCAATGACATTTCATTGTCAATCTCATTATGTGGATTTATACAATGACAATAAAAGAAGTCTAAAATAACCTGGTTAAATACAGAGAGCAGATTTTAAATGGTTGGTTTGATTTATTAAGGGGAAAAATTCTGTGCCAATCATCGCCATTGATTGAGAACAGGCAAGAACTGACAGAACAGGCAGGATCCAGGCTTGCAGGCATCCCAGAGCTCCCAGGCAGGTACAGAGTCTGAAAGAGTCCAGAAGCATGACCAGGCGTACACGCACAGGAGCAGACAGGATCAGGTGCAGACGGGCAGGCTCAGTGGTGGAGGGTAGCAGAGACAGGACGTGGAACCAGAACTTGAGCAGGACCTTTAAACTGTTCTCCTCCTTGGAGCCAGGCTTACTGGAATAAAAACTGAACCTCCTCGCGTAAAGAGCCAAAAACCCAGAGGACTAAGCAGGGGAGGAACAGTGGACGAGCAGGAGACGAGACAGGCACAAAACCCTCTTTCCTCTGGCCGCCAGGATCAAGGACATGCCCTTGGAATAAACAGACTCAACAGAAAAGAACATCTAATGATCTGGCCATGATAGCTGGAACTGAGCCCAGTATAAGGGAATCTGGCAGGTGGATGAGATGAATGATAATTAGGAGCTGGAAAGAGTTAAACAGGTGAAAGGCATAAGTAATTAAGGTCAGCTATCCCAGCATATCATGACAATTTGTTCATATTTCTTAAATGAACAACTATTAACTTATAAATGACCAGTAGAAGCTAATTTTGTAACATGCAGAGCGTTAACGGATTATATTGAACAAATACCACATTGGCTGCTTGTGCCGAATGAAATCTAAATAAAATTTAACCAAGTATTTAAAATAATAATTTAGCAGTTAATTGAGAGAACCTATTACATTAACTAATAATTTGTAAATATTTAACAACACCTACACTCCCACCAAATCACACATAAGGGATTTTATTCCAGGTAATTTGATGCAGCATGTCAAATCAATAAATGCTTTCAACATACTTTCGCTAGAGTACATAACTAGGGTTGACTCAATCAATATCACTACTGTCGCACCATACCATCATTCATCCATTTTCTGACACGCTTAGTCCCAAGTGGGGTCACGAGGGGTGGGTTGGTGCCTACAGTATCTACACTCACACCTAAGTTGATTTTTTTAGAGAAGCCAATTGACCTAACAGTCATGATTTTGGACTGTGGGAGGAAGCCGGGGTACCTGGAGAGAACATGCAAAGTTCACGCTGTAAGACCCTGGCCAGGAATCAAACCCAGAACCTTCTTGCTGCGAGGCAGCCATGCTTCCCACTACGCCACTGAGCAGCCCCACCATACAATCAGCACTAGTATATTCCACCACCTTGATGAGTCTTACTTGTACCGTAGTGTACCATCATCTTTTAAATTGACAGTAACTACTTTTTATGAGTTTTTGACTGTGTTAACCATGTCTGGCAATGTTGGAGGTCCAGTAGATACTCTTTCGTCCACGTCCCTCAGATGCACTGAACTGAAGCATCTTAATTCTGTAAACCTAAGGTTGTGAATCTAAGTTGCCCTTGTCCCACCAGAATAACCTAAGGTAATCTTGATTAACAACATGTAACTGATGAAACATCGTTTCCAGGTCAAACATAATGGCTATTGAACTCTTTATAAATCTATACAGCACTCCAATAAGTGTGTTCTTAGATCTTGGTCAGTGAAAAGGTGACGTTTTCCCCCAGGTTTGTCAGAGTGGTAGACTCCATGATGCAGAGTGTTCCACATCATGGATGGTTGTTGTCCGAATTCGGACCCCGAAAACTTCTCAGCATGTCCTGTATATATTATGCTATTTATAAATTAAACATAATTAGTGCTGTACGGCTTATTTTTTCTTACATTCTTACATTCTCATTCATTGATGATGTGAACAGCACATTGTTATCTAATAAATCTGGTTTGTCCTCTTTGAAAGGAAGAGGAAGCTCATAGTGACTCTCCCTTTTGTTTTATCCCTGCCTTTAAAATAAAATAGAATAGAATAGAAAATCCCTTTATTGTCCCACAATGGATAAATTCTGGTGTTTACAGCAGCAATAAGATTATAGAAAAAAGGTCACACAAATGTGGGCCTTAGAAAAGTGTATAAAAATAACATAATAGTGAAGAGTTAAAAAATACTGTACTGTAAAGTGTTTGAATGTGTTGTGCACGTGAAGAATAAATAACCCGTTTACAGCTGCAGACATTTTTACAGTAATGGATATTTGAAAGTAGCAGCAACATCAGAGATGTGCAAAATGACAGCAGCATGTTATTTAACTGACTAAGGTAGAAACTGTGCAAAATCAGGATGAATGTAACAACTTATTTAGGTTGTTGGAAACAGTGATGGTTATAAAGTCTTACAGCTGCTGAGAGGAAGAATCTGTGATGACGCTCCCTGGTGCATTTACAGTAGGGTGCAGCAGTCTCTCACTGAAGGAGCTCTCCAGTTCTGCAACAGCTTCATGCATGGGGTGGGAAACATTATCCAACAGAGATGTTAATTTAGTTAGGATCCTTTTGTTTCCCACCTGAGGGCATCCAATCAAAGAGCTGGTCTTCCTGATCAGCTCATCCAGCCGCTTTAGCTCAGCAGCAGATAAGCCACTGCACAGACAGACAGCTCCATAGAAGATAGCTGATGCCACAACAGAGTCATAGAAGGTCTTTAGGAGCACCCCCTGCTCTCCAAAAGACCTGTCTCCTCAGCAGGAGGAGTCTGCTCTGACCTTTCTTATACAGAGAAGGCAATCTTGTGATTTTGGAATTTCATATGTGCTTTGCTCTGCAAAATGTAACCCTTAAATCTTGATTACCTCTGTAGGGCTGATTTCCTTGATTTGACTTATACACACAATGATCACCCAATAATTTGGGTGGTAGGTAGTTGCATGACAGTTACTTATGCACTTATACTTATTTTACTTGTTGCACCATTACCCTGTGGCTAAATCCTATTCCATCCTTACAATCAATAGGTTGGATGAAAATCCCCACAACGCTCCAGCCTATATCGGTTCGTTCGGCATATGCAAAAGTTCCCTCACCAGAAATAACTTTTCTTGTTAGGGGGCTTGTTGGCACATATCAAAAGGGCTACATCACAGTTCAGTAGTGGTGATATCTTATTGGCTATCTGTTCCAAGTGAGCCCATTTCAGAGTTGTGTCTGTCATTGGAATGTGCAACTGGTTTGCTGGAATTAATGATCTTGTGAATATTGGTGGCAAAATAATCCTGTTTTGCAGTTTGTGTCCTCTTATTTAAAGATTTGTCAGTTTCTGAAATGGTATGACCCTGGATTTTGCAGACACCATACAAGCTCACATTCTCTTTAGCTCCTTTAAGTACGCCATATGTGAGGGTCCTGCTCTGGAAGAAATGAGACATTACACCTTTAACATGTAACCTTTTGTTGACATTAAAACATTAAAAATGTTCCCAATGATAACTGTGCTGTAGCTTGTGATGCAGTTTAAATTCCTGTAATTCAATGATGGTAAAATATAAAATTACAGATTATAGTACAAAATAATCCATTCATTATTTCATTTGTTTTTCAATTAGAAACCAACAATGAGAATACCAGAACATTCTTTTTTCAAATGTTGCTTTATTAAATGATATGGGAAAAATGGAGAAAAGTTATTTTTTAATTCAATATTTCCCTACTAATTTGGGAATTTGGAACTCTGACAGAAACCTTTTAGTTTCCATTTAATTTCTACATTCACTGGAAATATGTCATAGCAAAGGTTTATCGTATAAGCGATGGGAACGTGTGGTAGCCCCCCGTTTAGGCAGCTGACAGGCAACACTGTCGACATTCGACATTCCTTAGGCTTTTTAGAATGTGGTTACACATTGAAAACCAGCCAGTTTGTAGGATATGCAAGCAGCTGTCTTAGTATGATGTTAAAGTAGTGAACGATATTGAAGTAAGTCCGGTTTTCCTAAGTTATTTTACTACATTCTACAACTTATTAAGAGAAATTAAAGCTTTTGAAAATTTTTCCATTTTTAATAAAAGTTTAAAACTTAGAAATGGATTTGTGCAGGACGGAACATCCCTCTAATCTTCCTGTAATTTTCCATGCAATAGAAATAATGACGAGGGATGTGAATAACTGTTTTGGGCCCTCCTGCCTTGAGATGATGACACAGCAAATGAATGTTTTAGGCTGATTGCTTTAAACTGCAGAGAGAAGAGCAACGAGTATGATTATCATATAAACCAATGAATAGTTTGTCGAGTCATTAATTAGGCAGCAGGAGGTCAGAATACAATATCTGCCATGATCACAAACATATGTAGTAAAAAAAAAAAACAGAGAAATCCAGTTGCATTCTTTCCTGGTGAACTAAATCTGAAGGCTTTTAATCTTTGCTTCACTGTCCTAAATGTTACATCTCATAACTTTGCATTACAAATTAATCTGGCTAAAATCTTCAGTTTTGCAGAACCATGATTTTTACATAGAGATATGCTGTTTTACACCCACAGAAAATCTGTTCTGTGTACACCAACTGATAAGTGATAAGTCAGCTATGCCATATAAACATACTCTGAACATTTGACACAAAAATTCAATGACTTTGTTCATAAATGTGAGATTTATTGCTTTGCATTAACAAGATTCCAATTAATCTGCAATAGGCTGGAATTTTGTTTTCTTATGGTTACTGAGATGAATAAAGGCAACTTTATAGCATGTTTATGAGACATGGTGTGGTTTTTCAAATAACATCAGATGTTTGAACTCAGTGGTGTTTATGGAAAATTCTGCAATGGAAAATAATGTTAAATTTAATAGTTGCCTGTTGTTGATCAGGGGTACAGAAACACTGAAGTGTCACATATATCTTTTTTTTTTTTAGCCATACTCCCTGCAGTGCCAAGGTTCTGTTAGTAACTACTTAATCCCCTTCCTAAAGCTCTGCCAGCATCTAAACTATTACTGCAGTTTTTGTAGAACAAGCTGCTGACCAGAACAAATTAATTATGATAGATATTTAACTCATATATTTTGACTTTTTTGTTTCAGGATACTTTGTGCAGGATGCAGGTGATATTATTCTGACAGGACACGCCAGAGGATCATGGGAGTTTTTGCTCCATCATGCAATGGTAAGTTGCTCGCAACTCATTCAAGCTGGCCTTTCTGGTTCAGACTGCATAGCTGAGTCACAAGACTGAAGCTCAGTAAATCAGCAAAAGATAGATAACGTCACAGTCTGCGGTGCAATTAACAGGTTCACAAGGCCTAAAAAAACAGGAAAAGTTGAAGCTAAGGTTTAATTTTATTTTCTTCCATTTTCCAATAAGCTGTGCTAGATTAAAGCAAACAGGTGACAGATAATGATAATAATGATAAATGTTGTAATTTTGAATGTTTTAAGAGAAAATTCCTTTAGTGAAAAGACATCACTGAGCATGTGGGAGGATTGTGGTATCAGTGTCAAAACATCTACCCCATTTACACTACACTCTGAAAACTAAATCGTGCCAAGTTCATACCGAGCTTAGATCAGTGAACCGTGCTGAATTCGGTTCCTAACAACCATTTATACATTATGCTAGCATGGTTCCTCACCTCCTAGTGATGATCTATGGTACTACTGCGCTCTAAAAGGAAAAAAGCAAACCAACATGGTTGCATCCGTAAAATTCAGGAAGTTATGCTTTGTTATCAATGTAATATTTTGTTGTTTGCGGAGAGTCAGTCGAAAAAGGCAGCCTTTGGTGGATTTGATTGACAGAGTTGGCTTTTGGGAAGTGGATACGACATATAATGATATAAAAACGCTTTAATTAAAAAAATGTCCTAATTGTACAGTAGAATTAAATAGAATAATGTTAATTGAATAGGAATACCCTTTATGGTCCCACAGTGGGGAAATTCTGTTTTTTTACAGCAAAATTATTATAGAAAAAAATGGTCACACAAATGTGGACCTTAGAAAAATGTATAAGAATAACATAATAGTGAAGAGTTAAACATAAAAAAATCAATACAAATACTGTACTGTAAAGTGTTTTAAAAATATATAAAAACTGTGTACCCGGAGAATAAATAAATAATATACAGCTATGGACATTTTTATAGGAATGGATATTTTAAAATAACAGCAACAATTAGTAACATGTCACTTTTAATTTGTAAAAGTTCTGAAATGATTTATCATGGTTTACTGTAACACATCACAGACATATAAAAACTTTTAGAGACGGATTAAAGCCTTTAACACTTTTAAGAAACTTTCCTTTGATAGTTCACAAAATAGACATAAATATTAAGAAAAACATAAGGGGGCTATTCAAACTACTAGTAATAACAATTCAACAACATGCATTAAAGATTGGATCGACCAAATATAAAATGAACTAAAACAAAACCAATTAAAATATTAGAAAATATCAGTACCTCCATTCACTAAGGAATACAATTTATTTAGGTTGATTATACACAAACTGGTACTTTTTAATTTGTTCTCTATTAATTAAAAGTAGTTTCTGCTGCAGATAATAAAAATGCTAAATTTTAGAGGGAAATAATACAACCGATTAATGAAAATTGACAATACACAATTTTGAGATAATTTGAAAACTATGTTTAATAATTCCTTAAATATTTTCTGAACAAATTGTTTATTATAAAACATGTTGTAATTTTGTAAATGTCTAAATCAGTCTAGTATGCTTTACCAAAGTATAAACATCGGATAATGTCTTAATCCAATTTTATAGACTAAGCATTTGTTCTGTCTGTAGGTGATTTGGTGCTTCCTGTACGCCCTCTACACCGAGCTCTACATCGCCGGCGCTTTGATTGCCCTCTTCGTGGAGGTCAACAGCGTCACCCTCCACTTACGGCTGATGCTGAAGCTGGCTGGAGCCCAGTCTTCCTCCATGTATCACATCAACAAATTCGCCAACCTCTTCACTTACGTCATTTTTCGTCTTAGCACCCAGTTCTACCTCACCTGGTACATCATTCAAAACTACTCCTGGCTGGATCACGGTGGTTGCTTCCTTGTCACCATGATGGTAATGAATATCATGATTGTGATTTATTTCTACCGCCTGCTCCGTGCAGACTTCTTCCCCCGAAGCAAGAGCTACGTGGGGCAGAACGGCACACACAACAACAACTCCAAGAAGTTTCTTAGTGACTGATTTGGAGAGGTTTACAGGACTGCAATATGCTTTTATTTAAGACAAAATTTCCGGATTTTGGTGCATTTTCATATTTACAATTGTTGTGACAAAAGAATCACTGCCAAAGGATTAGATCCCAAAACAATTAGAGAACCAACACGCAGGTGCTGCTTTCTAAAGTAACAGTAAAGCAGGAACATCTTTATGAGATTTATCATTATTTTAAAGTAAAAGTGACAAACCCTTAAGATTAATACAGTCTTAAGAGGAGATCTTTGATATATTGCAAAAAATTTGATCAGTATCTATTTTAATCACTTTTCAACTAAAGGTTAAAAGGTACATTTGTCAGGATTGATGCTTCAGGCTAACGCAAACCCATCTTATTGACTTGTCCATATGGAGCATACTACAGTAGCTGACAAACATGCTGCAGACATAAAAAATACAAACTCCTACACAAAAAAAAAAAAACTTAAAGCGCTCTACCAGACCAACAGCTATGACATCTGAAGCCTCAGCATCAGCTGAACGGAAGAAACAAAATGTACTGTACCTGTGACTGTAAACTTTTACAATATAGAACATCAGCATATTCATGTAGGTAGAATTAGCCTGCATGTCTTTACTGAGAGTCACGTCCCATCAGACTAGGTGGTCGACTCCCTCTAGTGGTCTGGTGCACCTCCGTTATTTTAGAGAGTTTGTAAGTTTAAAAGCTTGCTGTTTTTATTTGTACTTTGCATTTTTATGACTCTATTTTTTTTTTTGTGCCTGGAGCGTTTTTGTGCTTGTATATTTTGGATTTATCATCGTTCCTACGTCTGCAGCATGTTTGACCATTTGTGGTGTGCTCAGTCGGCTCTGTCATTTGCTGCGCGTTTGCACCACCGTAGCACACTGTAACATAACTACATCATAAATGACAGTGAGCAGGTAGAATAGCGATAACACTGAGTGGGATGCAACATTAAGCTTGTATAAAAGCACTGTGTGCTAATGGTTGGTATACTCATAAAAGAAGGAGGGGGATCTAAAGATTGACTAAAAGATGATATTAAGCTGTAAATAGACTTCGCTCTATTTTGTTTTCTAAAACAGTGTTTTTTTTCACTGATGGTATATAAATGGAATAAAAGACACCTTTAAAGTTAAAGGTGATGGTGGTGATAGTTTAACACTGTAAAATGCATCTTTTAACAATGAAAAGAATGATGACCAATTCATGTCTGTAAGCTAAATTTGAAGAAATTGCAAGTGATTTACCATTTTTATAAACACTAAGACATGAAAAAGCCAATTTATAAGTCAGAAAAGGACAAAAAAACAAAAACAAAAGGGACAATATGAGAGATTTATGGCACAATGTGTCCTGACAAAGTGTTTGACTGTATAAAATGAAGTCTAAACAGTAAATATGTTATAGAAACTTAGTAAAGCAGTGGTACGACAGGGATTACAATTTTGAAACATACAAGTAGTGCTAAAAAACAAACGGAATCCTATCCCATACTTCAAACTTTATACAGAGAACACAATATGAGAGAATGAATCTCAGTAGCTACAGGATTCCGCTAGTTTAAAGAGTTAATAGTTGAGAAGCAATCTTTGTTGTTTTTTTAAAGTTTTTTTTAGAGAAAAGTCAAACAAAAGTGACCAATCTTGTTTGATTTTCACAAAGTATTTGTCCCTAGGCTAAAAGTGAGCAATTCTTCCATTTAGCCTACAAACAGGAGAATGGTGCTGATATTTTCAGTAAACTCGCAGCATCAAACTTTTAAGTTCAAGCAAAAAAATATGAAAAACATAAAGATTACCGGTATATGTAATTAATATTTCAGTTTATCTTCAAAGGTGCTAGGTAGATTTTCTTATTTATCGTAATGTTGCTAATGTTTTTAGTCGGGCTGATTGTTGCTTGCTAATTTAAATGAGTTTCTGGATGTACATATAGTATAGGTACTAAAATTATTTATAATGTTTATGTTATTTGCTTCTGGAATGCTAACCTTTCCTGGTAATGTTGAAGTATATGTTGGGTATACTTCAGTACATGTATTTAAAATGGTTAACTGCGTATTGTCTCTTGTGTTTTGTACAGTAAATCCATTTTAGGGTATGTTGTAATATATTTTACATCTGCATTCAAGTCAGTTCAAAAATATTTTACAAAGGGAAGTCAAATGTTTTAACTTATGGGGCATGTGCAGAAGTTTTTTTTGTTTGTTTTTGTAGAGGATTTTGACTAATGTGGACTTTTGGAACTTTCTAGATTTGCATTTTAATATTGTGTCATTGTGAGAACCAATCTTCTGTCTTTATGAAGCCAATTCTTTATTCATGGCTGAAGAGATTGTGGACATGACAGAGTTGTCCAGAATACATTGATTTGCTAACACATAGTGGGATCGTTTGTGGTCCTTTTATAGCAAAAACTGTTGGTATCTGACTCCATTGGAGCTGAAGCTGGATCTTCCTGCCGTCTGACAGCTGCTCATGAGGAACCCCAAATACGCCTTCAAAAAGAGCGACAGCAGCACAATCGTATGGTCAGACACTGCGTATCTTCTGCTGTTTTGGATAAATGATGATACTTTGGAAATGATGAACTCTTAAAGACTGAATCAGATTGGAGAAAAAAAAGTCTCTTCTTCCTCTTTCAGACAGATGTAAAATATTTTGTAAAATGTACATTCCTTTGGATATTTGTTGGTCTTTATCATTCCTAACTGACAAGTTTATTACTCAGACGTGACATTAGGTCCCCGCCCTCCTGTGGACCTGAAACATTAACAAGGAACATCTGAGGATGTTTGCTCAGCAGGATCCTGTTGCATTAGCAATAGAACCTTTGATTTATTTCAAAAAAACAAAATAAGGTGTTGCAAGTATTAAACCAGCAGAATAAAACAGAATATAGGAGTGTAAAATAATGAGCCCTGTAACTTATTTTACCAGTCAATAGTCATAATATTGTGGCTAATCGATGTCAACCTCATTTACTGTTTCAACCAACGCCAAGAACAGACAGCATAGACCGAGCTGACATGCATCTGACCTGTGCTATAGTGCCTTCATACCTAAGTGCCTTCTGAAAAATTAGCAGAAAACACAATAAATCAATATTGACTGAGTGAATTGAACCAGAGAGAGTTCCCATCTACAGCAAACTCTAGTTAATTTATTTGAACATGAGCACAATATTGTAAATGTGTCTTGTATTGAAGTGATCTATAGCGGCCCTGTCTTTTTAATCACTGAGTGAATAAATAAGTGTTTAAAATCACTGGTAGTCATGATTTATCTTTCTTCTTCAACATGTATTTTAAAGCTGAAGGAGATTTATTTTCAAGACATGTTATCCATCTGTTTTCTACCATTGAAAAGGTGGCATAACTAATTTTTACCTAAAACACACTTTTTTTTAATAGCAAAGGTTAAAACAATCTAGACAAATTAAATACTACAGTAGAAAGGAACACCTGTTGATGCTGAAATCAAGGCTTACTCATAGCCTTGGTTTAAGACGCATGAAACAAAAAAATAGCATGAACCACCTTCTGAACAGATGAACAACTGATGTGTTTTTAATAAATAAAAACAGTAACCAAGAAGTTAAAAGATTATTATAAATTATTAAGCTTTAGCATTTATAATAACTACTCAAATAAGTGAGACTTATTTCTTTCCTGATGTTTTAGTAAGTAAATACATACCTTGTTGTTTAAAAGGTATCAAATGAGTTGTACAGATTGAAAAAAAGGCCTATGTGTTAATCTATCTTGTAATTTTTGTTCACGTTTTTTTTTGGAAAAAATTATAAAACTGCAAGTTAGACTTAAAAAAAATTTATGATCTGACCAATGTCTATACTTCTTTTTCTTCCTGGATCATTAGAGAGACTAGTTCTTATGTCAAGTGGTGTAAATGTTTTCTTCTGATATTTACATATACTTCAAGGGTTTTTAGTTTTTCTTCAAAAACATTAAAATCCGATAAACATTTAATCCTTTGTGCTTTTCTTCTAAGGTGTTTCTAGCATTTTAAGAGTGTGCTCTAAGGATAGTTATTTTTATTTTTTTCTATAATGGGTTTTAATTTATGCCCTTGTATTTTATTTGCATTCTGAACCGGCATCTCAACAAAATTTTTATTAAGGTGACATAATAACAAAAGAGACTATTAAGATCTCACCGAAAGGTCTTTTTGATCTTGTTTTGAGATACATATGCTTTTATTTTGAGGATGTTTATCATCATGTTAAGAAGCCTAAAAAAATACAATTGTCATACTACATTGGAAGATCATTGCAAATATTCTGAGGAGAATCTTCACAAAAGAAGATGATCAATCTGAATCTGTGAGATCCAGGATTGTAAGACTTTTTTAGATGGACATTTTTTTGCAGTAAGTTTGTAGATATATATAGGTTTGTACCTTAGACCAATGTAAAAATATTAAATGTTAAAATTAGAGTCACCTTAAAGCATCATATAAATTACAATACAACCACAGTTTTCATTTTTAGATTAGAAGTCTGCAACTTTGGTCTGGGGGCTCCCTTAATATACAAACTTGATCTGTTTTTGGCGTGCAGTTGTTATTATTTTTGCTCCGAGCCCCCACCCTGACCGCCCTGGTAAATTCCACCTGGAACCGCCAGTGGTAAGTGAAGCTAAAACTTTATTGATCTCACATTGAAGGAATCTACCTCCGCATTTTAACCCATCCCCTTGGGGAGCAGTGGGCTGCCATTGTGCAGTGCCCAGGGAGCAGTGTGGGGTGAGGGTCTTGCTTAGGGACCCAGAGTGGGGGCTGTGGGGATTAAATCAGGTACTTGCACCCTTCCCAGAGCACAAGCGCACTGCTCTAACCCACAAGGCCAGCACTACCCTTTATTTATTTATTTAATCTTAACGTTCTTCATTTCTTCAATTAAAAGTAGCTTTTTTAATCCTTAAATGGAACATTTATGTCACTGTTTTTAGTGTGAAATTATGCTACTGCAATGAAAGATACATTTTCATGTAGAGCTCTTGTTTTTAAGGCTTTTATCTGCTGGTAAATTTGGAGACTGCAGATTCCTGGTTGTTCCACATTTTGTCCAGCAGGGGGCGCAGCAGCAGTGCAAATGTGGAAGGAAAGAATGAATCCAGGGAACTGAGTCAGCAGCTGCTGCTTTTCGGCTGCTTCCGTGGATCCGCTTCAGCTCCGTTAATGGTAAGCTTTTTATTTTTTTAACCAAACACTGGGGACGTGGGCTGCTTTAGCGTGAAGGCAGAGTCATATTTTGAAGAAAAGGAGAGGAGAAGAAGACCATCTCGATCTGCTGCGGTATCCCTCTAACATCCCTTCAGCTAAAACGCGCTACTTCTTAGTAAACTTTGGAAAACTCACAGCCTCTTTCTCTCCAGTTTCACCTCTTTACCTGCGGTTTAATGTTTTATAAAGTGTTAAAGTCGCTGCAGATATATCCAGAACCGGACCAGATGAAGTAAATAGACATTTTCTCATCTTCTTTGGGAGCTTTGATGAACAATAGGATTAAAACAGACAGTAAGTGGATCAGTCCCCCCCGGGCTCCATTTAATTTCATGGATAATCAACATTTGGCTCCTTCAGGCTGCCGTAGTTTTTAGGAAAAGTTAACTATTGGTCTGTGTGCTCCAGTTAATTTTCAACTGCCTTTGTATGTTATATACAATAGAACCTCGTATGTAACAAACTCATGATTGTTTAGTAACAGAAATATTTATCCAAGTATACAGTAATCTTATGGAGCTAGATGCCTTGGTTAACAAAAAGGAGAAAGATTTCATCTACCCTAAAATCTTCATCACTGAAGAGGGTGGACATTTTTTTTGTAAGATCCTTTAGCCCCTTGAACCCTACGGACCCACCGGCGGGTCCAGCTGCTACATGACCTCGTGGTTTTACCAAACCCCCAGTATTGATGTAAAAAACATATTTGGCACAGTTTGGTGACATTTATGGATAAATGTGCCAAAATGGCCTCTCCGCCTAAGAAATTTCTCACTAATACCATTCTAAAATAAATATGATTCATCTGATTGAGTCCAAATTTGGTATATTTTTACACAACATTTAGATTTGAAAGTCTGTACTACTTTTTTGTGCTATAAATAATATTTTGGTAGTGTTTTGCAATGTTTATTTCAAAGAAAATTTTGGCGAGGTTCAAAAAATGCAAAATATTTTGTATTTTGTCCCTAATATTTCAGGCAGGGTCAAAGCTACAATGGTGCTGACACCAGAAAACCATTCTATGACATCTTACCTTTACAGACGTACCAAAAGTTTCTTCTTAAATCTAATAGCTTTGAGGCTATAAGTTATTTACTTTTGTGTGTTTTTGTCAGGCAGAAATTTATTTATACCCCCTTAGGGTGTAAGAGGTTAGAAAAACAAATAAATTCAGCTGTATTTCTTTCTATTCTCTCTGCAAATGTTTTATACAATTTCTCTTTTGTTTGGTCTAAAATACTGGCATATTTGCTTTAACAGTAACCAAACTGAAATTATCCTATTTTTTTTTTAAATAAAATTTCAAAACTGTCTAATAAAAAAAGAAAAAAAAGGCAAATTTAACTGATGATCAATGCTGCAGGAGAAGACTATCTAAGGATGATGGCTAAAGATGAAAACAAAAGGTCACTATGAGAAGTGCAGCAAAAAAAGCTAAATGTAATCTTTGAGTCAGTAGGCACTTTTAACAGCAGTTTGATGATATAAGCCATGTGTGTTAAAGTGTTTGTTTTAACATCATTAGCGTAAACATTTTGGAGTTACCAAATGCCTATGTGAATTAAAAGGGAGCTCTGCATTGATTAAATGAGACAATTAAACCTAACACTGTTTTTTAAAGTGCATCTTGATGAAATTCTACCAGCAAACAAAATTTGCTTTCGCTTATATGCATTTGACACTTAAATAGACACATATACAGAATTTATACAGTTCATTTAAGTTGAAATGTCTTTTTTAGACCTGTTTATGAAGCTTAAGCATAAATTCAATCTGGACGACTCGAATCAGCTTCACCGGAACCTCCTGCGATGTCCTTCATTCAACTCCAGCCAATCAATTCACCAAAGCCAATCATCTTGCAAGATTCCCTTCATTTAGCTCCTGGCCCAGCTTCTCTCTCCGCTCCTGTCTCCTCAAACCCCAGTCAGCCTCGCCAGATAGCTGCATACATTGAGCCTGGTTCTGCTGGAAATTTCTTCCTCTTAAAAGGGAGTTTTCCTCTCCACTGTCGCTACATGCTTGCTAAATGTGAGGGATTGCAGAGGGTCAATTAGCCCTCGCAATCAGCTGATTTTCCTTCGATAGAAATATTTTGTTAAATATGACTGTTACCTGTATCGATAAATTGATTATTTTCTAATTGAAACTTTTCTCTATGTGAGTCTCTTCAGGTTATAAATGTGCTACAGCACTGATGCAACTGTGGTGTAAAAAAAAAATCTCTGAAATGCTTAATCTAACAGTATAGTTTTACATATGCTCAGGTAAAGATGCACTCACCTCAGCATGCTAAATGCTTTAAAGCTACAGTGTGTAATAATTACAGGGATATACAGTCAGAAATGTAATATATTATACATAACTGTTATTTATCATCATCTACGAGCTCAGCCTCTTAACCTTAATATTTGCGTTGCCTTAGAATTCGTTATTTATAATTACATAGTAGCGGGTCTCGCAGCCATGGAGGCAGACATCTTTGCGCTACGGCAGCGCAGAGCCAACAAACTAGCGATTGCGAGATCGCCCATTACGCTCGAAAGTAACTACGGCAAGTTGAGAGAGATGAACTGAGACGGTACTTAAATCTATACCCTACACAGACTAATGAAATATTATCTGTAAAATTATCTATGTAAACAAACCTCATCACTTGAGAAGGTAGGTGATGCGGACGTCGTGGAAGACATTTTGTCCCGTAACGCTCGCCGTACTGTTGGGGGGGGGGAGATGTTCATGTTGCTGCGGTCTGCAGTCTGGACGTTAGATGTCGCTGAAAATTACACACTGTAGCTTTAAACTAAAGCAAAACTAGTTTAAAAAAACAAAACAAAGCATGGTAACATGACATCCAAAAGTAAGGTACCACGCAGGTGTATTGGGATCACACCATTATCCCAGGAGACGAGCACTATTCACAGTGGGAGGTAAACAAAAACGATGCATGTACTTCAAACTCATGGCAGGAGTTCATGTTATACTGATTCTGCTGAATATTCTTTAAGGACACGCCATGTAACTTTTGGCCACTAGGGGCACTAGACCTGTAAATTCCCGTATTTTGCTTCTATAAACATTGAAAATAATTACAAAGATGTATAACTGTATACTAGGAGCAAAGTGTTAACTTAGCACTATAATAATTAAGTTAAGAAAAGACAATCCGTTTTAAATTTGGATTTGTGTTTCAGCCTGCGCCAAGGACTAAAATCCTTTCCAAGATCGACTCTTGTTTTTCCTCGTGCATTTTCCCTTTCATGTTTGCTTTTTTAAGCCTCCTCAGAAGGTTTAAACTTTTTCCTTGCCTCAGCCATGACCAGTAGTCGATCAGGTGGAGAAATAGTGGAGTAAAAGCCTTGGCTCCATGATGATATTGGAGCCTGTTGCTGTAAAGCAATACGTTCTTCCAGGTCACATGCCCTGATCAATGACGGTTTCATCTTCTCTCAACTTAAATAGTTGGTATTTCAAGAGAGGAGCCCCGATTGTAGCATTGATGGTGTTGAATGCTGTATATTGGACTGAGGAATCATTTAAAATTACTCATATAAGTCAACTCTTTAAGTCTGCAGTTTGCCTTTAAATCCCACATAAACTCACAATTTATGTATGCCTGCATACACGGCAAGAAAAAGGTTAAAAATTTTTGCTTTTTTCTTGTTCAGAAATAATTTTCCTCGAGGCTTCATGTCTCTCAGAGTTCCAACCATGAGCGTTTTCCCTCCAGTTCGACAGGACCGAGTCATTGCGCAGCTCCCTCAGGTAAAAAGGACAAGAAAGACTGTTAATAACTGTTGCTTTAAAAACATATTTGAAGGTCTCCATTATGTCTCTCTCTCCTCTTGTTCCAACAATTCAGGCTTTCAGAAAAGAAGCAGCTTTTCACATTACGGAAGACTTCAACAATAAAGTTAGGAGCGCCTGCCAGGAAAGGCGGACTGGCACTGTGGGGTGAGAACCAAAACCTCAACCCTTTCATATCTGTTTGACATCATTCTTTAGGCTGATTCTTCTCTTATTCTTCCTGGCAGATTTAAAATCTCCAAGGTCATCGTTGTTGGTGATCTGGCTGTGGGGAAAACCTGCCTGATTAATAGGTAAACTACCATCTTTTTAATATGTGAAGCATGCTACAGTGCAACTCTGGGAATAAATAACTTAGGAAGCTTGCATCAACATGTATGTAAAATGTCCAATCTGAGTCTGACCTGTTAAACTAATCCTGTGCTAGATGCTGGATTCCCTCTCCTAATAACCTTTAATGAATATTTTTGCCAAATCATAGTATATTTATAGCTGCATAATTTTCCATCGTGTTTTTTAACTGTTTAAAGTCCTGTTAATGGAAGGGGTGACCCTCCCCCACCGGTTTCTGCTCACTGCTGAATAGCAGGTGGAAGGCAGAAACTGAAGCAGAGAAGAAATGCAGTAGTCATTCCTCTACCACATTGTCAAAATATTAGGGAATGTATATAAATATTAGTAAATACTTATCTGACATTACAGTATTGTTATTGGCCCACATTTTTACATTGGTTTATCCCTAATTTTTGCAGCTGGTTGAATAGATGTTGCTTGGTAGAGTGGTGGTCTAGTGGTTGGCTTTGAGATGCGGTAAAATGGCCAGTTCAATTTTCAATAACTTATTATTAAACTTTTTAGAAAGAACGGACTGTTGTGACTCTGGTTCCCCTTCCCTTTGGTTTATGGTTTTTCATTCATCTTTAATGTATTTGTGCAAATGTTGTCATTGTTCTTAAATAAGTAGCTGATGTGTGAAGTTATAGTAATGTTACTGTAATTTACACACACTGTCAAAAGGAGCCAATTACAGAGACATAAATGTGTAACTTAACCAAAGACTACCACACCCTGCGACCAAAATGTCCAATACTCTAATGGCTTCTGTAATTAGGTGTTACCCACCATGAACCGGTGATCAGCAAAGAAAAACTGCCTTTTCTGTTTTAGATTTTGCAAGGATGCCTTCGATAAGAACTACAAGGCGACGATCGGTGTTGACTTTGAGATGGAGCGCTTTGAGGTGCTCGGCGTCCCTTTCAGCCTGCAGCTGTAAGTCTAACCTGTGTTTTTATTTCAGATAGGGTCCAGATGTGGTTTATGTTGCTCAATTTTTTCCCCCCTCCATTACAGTTGGGACACTGCAGGCCAAGAAAGGTTCAAGTGCATTGCTTCCACATACTACAGAGGAGCTCAGGGTTTGTCCTTCCTACATCCTCTCTAAATATAACAATAATTAACATGAAATATGTATCTAATTAATTAAAAAAAGACTATTTTTTTTACTTTTTTCTCAGTCGTGATCATTGTGTTTGACGTAAATGACATCGCCTCTTTAAGCCATGCTCGGTAGGTTCACAGATCAGCTGGATATTGTTGACCTCATGGTTCCTCTGTCTCCTTTAGTTGACTGTTTCTGTTATTGCAGGCAGTGGCTTGAGGACGCCTTAAAGGAGAACGACCCCACTAGTGTTCAGCTTTTCCTCGTTGGCACCAAAAAGGACATGAGTGTGAGTCCTCTGCTGTTTAATGCGGACATTTTATGTTCTTTTCACTGGAAATGAATGTGAATAACCTGGACCGACGCCACGCACAGAGAGGTTGTGTTCTTCTGGTTGAACCCTCAGGAATGTTTGGCCTCCTCATATAAAAACCCCAAAGCATTTTTGGTTAGAGCAGAAGTGATGGAGTATAGGAGTTTTATTTTTTAAGGAGCTGTTGCCTAATTTACAGAATGTTTCTCTATTATTTTGCTGCCAGTGATAAATTGTAATGTCTTTTAGAATTTTAAACCTGTAGAAATTTTCTGTCCCTCATTATATTATATAATTATTTGCACTTTTATTAAATAAAATATCAAGAAAAAAGCAAAATGAAAGCACACAGCTTTATACAGTCATAATTCATAAAGTTAGGATGTTGAAAAGCTTATTTATTTCTTGTAACTCAATTCACTAAAAACTCTTATTAAATAATAATCCCACAGATAATTATATTTACAAACCTTTTATTTATTTAAAATAATTCCTGGCCTAAAGCATATGAAAACACAGCATCTAAGATTAAAATATGACATGAAAAATGAGGACTTAAACTATGTTTAATACCTGCTTAAAGGTTTGATCTGGTAAATAAGCATGTTCCATTTTTTATATCCCTTATATATTTAAAAAGAAATGAAATAACCTTTAATATAAAATATTACCTGCATTTATCTGGATGTAGTTGGTGTGACGTCTCTCTGTTGTTTCTTTTAAACAGTCTCCTGCTCAATATTCCCGGATCGAGCAAGACGCTCTGAAACTTGCAAATGAGATTCATGCAGAGTACTGGGCTGTTTCCTCTCTGACAGGTGAGTCGGCAGATTAGAGTCCTGTTTAAATCAAAGATCTGAAACATCACCATCGTTGATACATCTTGTCAATCACTCCCTATATAAAAAAAAATAGATTTGCAGAATCATCCTCATTTGATTTCTTATTTAGTTTTTATGGTCAGAGAGAATAAAATTAAGATAAGCTCTCCAACGATTTCATAGTAGAGCTTTAAAGATATTGCTGAAACAAACAGACAATTTATGACATGTTTAAAATGTCCGTACGTTTGGGTTACATATTCATTCTTGTTATGAAATAAACTTTCTTATTATTGGTAGATTTGGAAAAGGATTTGTGTTGAACTTTTACCAATATCACACAGTACCTAAATACATGGGTGGACTTTTACTTCTTTAATTGAACAACTATAACTTAATGTTACTTTTATTTTTATATTTTCTTTAAAGTGTTGATAATGCAATATTGATTTAATGTAATTTTGCATTACAACCATGCAGCAGGACATACCAGGTGGTTCTGCAAACATGCTTATTTTTAACACAAATATCCTACATTTATTAGCTCCACAGCAGCACTGATTCATAGCTTGTAAAAACAAATCTCTGTGTGCCGATGTCAGAGGAAGAACCCTTTTGCAGCTAGCTCAGCATTCTGTAATGGAGATGGATGGAAACACTGATGTTTGTTCCAGGACATCTAGTTTGGGATTGATTTGAATGTTTGAACCATCAGCCAGTTCAAGCTCAGGTGATGCTGAGTAATATGGAGGCATCACACCATCCAGGTCAGAAGACAAGACAAGGCAAATTTATTTGTATAGCATAATTCAGTACAAAGACAATGCAAAGTGCTTTACATGATTAAAATATAGGAAAATGAAACAGAATCAAAGCAAGTAGGAAAAAATTAATAAAATTAAATTAAAAATGCAGAAACAAAAAAGAACATTAAAAACAGTTGGACTAAAGAAAATAAAAAAGTTGAGCTAATGATGTTTCAGTTGAACTGTTTAACTAGAACAGTCGAAGGCAATCATAAACAAATGTGTTTTTAGTCTTGATTTAAAGGAACTCAGGCTTTCCGCACCTTTACAGTTTTCTGGAAGTTTGCTCCAGATACGCGGAGCATAGGAACTAAATGCTGCTTCTCCATGTTTAGTTCTGGTTGTACGTATGCAGAGCAATCTGGAGCCAGAAGACCTGAGTGGTCTGGAGGGTTGATAAACTGATAGCAAGTCTGTGATGTATTTAGGTGCTAAGCCATTCAGGGATTTATAGACTAACAGAAGTATTTTAAAGTATATTCTCTGAGATACAGGGAGCCAGTGTAAGGACTTTAGAACTGGGGTGATGTGCTCTACTTTCTTAGTCTTACTGAGGACACGGGCAGCAGCGTTCTGGATCAGCTGCAGCTGTCTGATCCACTTTTTAGGCAGACCTGTGAAAACACAGTTGCAGTAATCAATTCGACTAAAAATAAACGCATGGATTAGTTTTTCTAGATCATACTGAGACATTAGTCCTTTAATCCTGGAAATGTTCTTCAGGTGACAGAAAGCCAACCTTGTAATTGTATTTAAATGCTTTTGGAGGTTTAAGTCTGAATCCAGCACTACACCTAGATTTCCATCCAGAGCGGACCTCTAGCCTACAGAGTCGGATTCTGAGCCGGAGGGTGACGGCCAATATCACCGCAGCAGCACTGGTAGAAAACACATGGCAGGGAAACACGGCTTGCTATGCCTGGTACAGATAGTGTAACAAGTTATTAGTTTATAAATATTAATATTATTAGTATATAATACTTTAAATAAACATGGTTTGCTAATAAATCCTCCACTGCTGTTAAATGATACTATATTCTTAAAAGTTTAGCTAGCAACTTCACCCATCCTTCACTACCAGGTTTGGCAGATCTACTGTTTCCAGCCCCAGAACAATGCGAAACCCCTCAATAAAAAAATAAACAAAAGAAACCTTGTGTTAATCTGAACCTTCTGTTAAAAGCACAGACTTAGCTAAAAACAATTAGCTCTGGATCATCGTCTGGGACAGCAGCAATCTATGATCTAAGCTCCACATCAGCCTTCATTCTTACCTTAACATCATCTCGGCTCAGATTTTAAACCCAACCTATCTCTCCAACTTCTGCACAAAGGCAACAAATCATGCAATATGCATCAGCAGTCATTTTTAGTAATCGTTTGGGATTTATGCAGACTATAAAGCATTAGTTTCTGCTCAGAATGTTAATTGATGTGAACATTTAGGTCTATTTCCTGTTTATATTTTGCATTCCTGCTAGCTGTACAGTCAGCATAACAGTTTGTCATTGTGACTGTAAAACATTATTAGTATAAATGCTAACAGTTTATCAGAATTTCATGTTTTATTCATAAGTCAGACACAAGTCAGAATAGAGAGTCTAGCCACAGTTGTGGTTTCCTTCCAGTCTCTGACAGAGCTCTGGCTGCTTTATTTATTTTTTTTTTTAGGGGAAAACGTCAAAGAGTTTTTCTTTCGAGTCGCTGCTTTGGCCTTTGAGACAAACGTTCTCGCTGAGTTGGAGAAAAGTGGATCGAGGCAGATTGGAGACGTTGTCAGTGAGTATCTGAACTGTCTCAAAAAGTAAAAGATAAGACGCACAGTTTGACTCTCCTCTCTGTTGTTGTTGCAGGAATTAACAGCACCTCAAGCAATCCGTACGCTACAACAAAGAAGAAACAGGGAAACTGCTGTCAGTGAGGCTAAGACAAAGGTTTTTACATTTTTGAGGCCCAAACGCACAGACTTGGATGAAGGCTTTTTTTTCCAGCAGTGGATGAATGGCTGCCATCCAGCTTGGTTTCTGTGGCCAGAGAGAGAGTGGCTGCATTTCATGCCCTGTTTACAGTCTCTTTTTTTTTTTTTTTTTTTTTTTTTTCCATGGCCAGAGGAAGTTTCCTGTAAGGGAAAAATGATGTTATTCATGGTGTTTCTCAGTTTTGGCTTGACTTTAACCCAGAATGATGGGTTATGCCGCCAAAATACCAAAGAGTCTGTAGATGCTTACTTTGCTTAGAACCTTGGTTTTACTGCCGTAGTTCTGCTTCTCAATCAATCCGTTTGTACATGTTTAACCCAAATATATCTAGTGTTGACTTTTCATCTAATTCTAAATCACCACTTCGACACCCCATCTCCTCTGTTTGACTTTTAGACTATCAACACTGAAACAAGGAAACAGACGTGAACAAAGTAGCGCCTATAAGGTGTTCAGAGCAGTTCCCTAAGGCCCGCTCTATTCCTATTATGAACTTATCTTGAGGTGTCTTATTATAAATGTATCTGAATGCAGCAGCAGCACAGTCTCATAGGTATTCGATGGGTGGAAACATTTCTGTTTTGCTGGTAATGTTACTGGGATCTGTCACACTAAAATGAAATCAAACCATCTATTGGTTATACCTACTTGCACACATAGAGCAATATAGACTGAATAGTTAATATTTCTGTTTACTGTGGGAGGAAACCAGAGGGAGAACGATCTCCATGAAACTTGTTTTAGATTTTTTTTTTCAGTGACTGTTTTTTCTCCTCTTAATCCAAGTTGCTCTGAACCTTAAATGATCAACTTTTAAATATTTTTTTTAAGTGGAGGTCTAAATAAAAAATGCACCAATTACTTTTCTTCCAAGATTATCGGTGTTGATCCTATTTAACCGACGAATGAATAAACTTTATATCTTACCATGTGAATGAAGGCTTCAGCTTTGATATAAACATTGTTTAAAAAGGGAAACAAAATAACACAGATATAAATCTACTTTTTTATTGTTTATTAATGAATAATAAAAAAATAACAGATATAGGGCACTGCATTGGATCTTAGATATCCGATATCAAATCACCAATATCAGATCCAGATGCAATCATTTCAAAATTTAAAACAACTTTAAAAATAATGATGTTTTGAAAAATGGAAATAGTTCTGTTTCCATAAAGTGCCTTAAATGTCCATTAAATTATGATGATGAGTTATTGTTTGGTAGGGATACAGATAATGCTGGCCTGTTTTCAGTTTCTTTTTGGAACCTTCTTAGAATGTTTAATTTTTAGAAATGCACAGCTAAATTTGTAATAATTGTGGTAATTTTATCTCATTTTTATTTTCATGCCTCCTCATAAAGGGAAAACTCATTAAAGGTTGGATCAGTATGAAATGATGTTGCTGCAAAACAAGTTATCCCGTTTTAAGACTTTTTAAACTTGTTTTCCAAGCATGGAGGTTGTTAAATGTCAAAGTTACATTATTAAAGCATTAGTGTGTCACAGCACAAAGGAGAGATGTATTGTGTATGTGAGCTGAGGGCTAAAACGTAATAATAATAAATTAATTTCTAGTGCAACATAAAGAGATATCAGGCATCATCATCATGCCTTTAACCATTTTCTCACGCCTCCATCTTAAGGAAAAATATTTCCAGGAAGCTTGATAGGTACTTACTTATTGTTTTTATTTAATCAGTGACTGAATTTGTTGTAGAGTTTTTATTTTGTCTTTGTGAGCATCAACTGTTTTGATTCAAGTGTCTGATTTTTATTTTTATTACACGAGAAATCCTGTGCTATTATTTTGGTTAGTAAAAAAATATCAAAACCTAAGTCATTTAATAATTACCTTAATGTATTTCTATGCAAATTAAAGTATTTGACATAAAGTTTATTTTCTCTTCATTAAGCTCTGAAAATCTTCTACTTGTTAAAGCTTTTCAAAATGTTCATATATTTTCCATCGACTTGAATCTGCAGATCTTCTGGGATGCAGTGGGAGAACTTGTAGTTTTCCTTGATCCACTTCCCTCCTTCCGTGTTCTCGATGGCCACAGCGGCTACACCTGCAGCAAACAGGAACACGTGTCCAAAATCAGCTCCGGAGCTTTTAATTAGCCACAGCATTAAAAAGGTGATTTTGCTGCCTGACCAACAACCGTGGCTCCCTGTTTCTCCACCAACTGGATGGCGGCCCTCATAGTGCCTCCTGTCTCTATCCACTGGTCCACCAGCAGAACCTTCATACCTGCAGCAGAACACAATCCTTAACTTTTAACAATGAACATCTTTATTCCAGATTATTTAGTGCAATTAAAATTAAACATATGCAAATTCCATTCAATATTTTGTGCTTGTGTCTTAAAGGGGGTATAAGGAAGTGATAATGACTAATCATACCCCTTCCTTGCCTTTAGTCCTTAACACTAACAAACTTTCTGATTCCTACTTATGAGTCCATACTGCTCCAAAAGTTCATTAAGTGAGCAATTTAATTAGCTTATGTACATGTATGACCACAACCCTTGCAAAAATATAAGTAACCATTGATGTGCACTGCTATCTTTGAGCCTTTTCCTTAAACAGCCTTGTTCTTTAATTCAACACTGATTTTATATCTCATAGAAATGGTTGTAAAGGAAATTATGACAAGGAATTTTATTCAATGTTTAGTTTTTCTGACTTATTTCTTTTTGTGACAATATTTTAAGTGAAAAGAAACAGAAGGTTGAAATTGGACGTTTATACAGACATGTAGCCCTTATTTTCTTCAAATTTATTTTTCTGAAGTTATATTGCGTGAAGAATACAATAGAGAACAGAAAATGTATATTTTACCCCAAGGTAATATTTCCATCCCAAATGTAAAGACATTTTTATATGGAATATTTCTGATTGTTATTTGAAAATAAAAACAATTAATGGCAATAATTAAATCCACTAGGTATTTTGTTAACACCAAGTGTACAAATAGAAAGCAGACATTAGATATCAAACAACCTTTTAAACCTCTACATATATATTATCATTTTACAGTTTCTCATTCTATTTCAGGAAGATACCATGTCCCATTTTTAATATTGATTTTTAGAAAATTCAAACCCTCAGTTTGAGAGCTTTTATTCCATTGGGGGGAAAGTTCTGCATTAAAAGATAACTGCCTTTAACTTTATTGGCACCCTTCCTGCTAAAGCTCTATGAAAAAACAATCTTTAATGCTGATATTTTAGGAAGTTTTGTTATGCAATGATGGTGGTCAGGGTGTTTTATCCAAAACATAGTTTATGAATACTTTACAAACTATGATCTATAGCTTTATAACTATTTTCTTCCTTTATTTTAAACCAAGGACAGTTAATATTAGTTTGATGTGACAAAAGCCCAATGTTCCAGTTTAAAGTTAAAGTTGCATTCAGCAAAATGTTTAGGGTTGTGATGGCAGGACAGAACAGACTTAGCTAGATGGATAGAAAATGTGTTGTTTCAATAGGGGACATGTTGCTTAGTGAGAATATTGTATTGGCCATATAAACTGGCCATTACAAAAACTTAAAATAAATCCAGCAAAAACTAAGAATCTCCTTTAGCATAACATCCTTTACAGTTCATGGCTTCTATACATATTACATAATCATGTATCATGATTATTTCATTCTGCAGGTGTATTAAATACTTAGTTTATAAAATGTTCCTATAAAAAAAAAAGTTTTATCAGTTTAAGAGCAGAAAAAAAATCTATTGCTTCAATGCATTTTTTTTAGAAACTAATTTCTTGTGTTACAAACTATTGTTTTGATCTAGCATGTAGAAATCAAATAAATAAATACTTTTGAGTGAATAAAAACAAAGTAAATGTTGTAAGAACTATATGCTGAAATCTGTGCCATATTATATCCAAACCCTGGAGAAACAGGAAGACATGTATAATTAAAGATACCTAGAATTTCTCATTAAGTTGGATAAGCAGCTAAGGAACAGTTGTCTTTCAGAAACTTTGAAAAAATAAAAATAAAAAAAACAAAGGAAATGCATTTGCTTATCCTGTATACAAGGGAAAAAAAATTCACTAGATTCACTAGACCAGGGGTCTTCAAAGTCTTCCAGGCCAAGGACCCCCAAACTTATGGTGAGATGGAGCGGGGACCCCCTAAATATATATAGTATGAAATTGTGTTATATCATTATTAAAGTATTTCTGATTCTGATTCCTGGTTGACAGGACAGGTGTTGTGAATGAAACGGTGCCCAGCTTGAAAGAGCTCCTGTGTGTCGTATTGAGATTGGATCCCAGTTTTCTTTTTTTCAAAAGAAATTCCTCTAATTTTTAAACCTGAATGCATTGTGTTTATTTGTGCTAATTCAGATTTTATAGAAAAATTTAATTTTAAGTTAAATTAAGTCAAAAATATATAAAATTCCAAAATTATGGAATCCTGGCCCCCTGGTGCATTTGGTCTAGAACCGCCACTAGCATTGATGACTGAAAAACATCTTCTGCCTCCATTTATCTGTTTACTACAGTGTGTTGAATTCATGTTAATGTGTATTTAAAGACAGTTCAATGAGTGGAAAAAATTGCATGGTGAATATTAAAAAAAAGTCTAATAAACCAAAACTTTCGTGACCCCCATGCAGTACCTCTGGGGACCCCCTAGGGGTCGCGGACCCCCTGTTGAAGACCTCTGCACTAGACAATTAGTAGAAATGCCCCAGCCAGTGAGGGCCAGTAGATTGATGGAGGGAAAATACCAAGGAAAGTAGAGAGAACAATAAGTACTTCAACTAACACTAGATGGCACTATGATGCAGAAAAGGTACAGGAAGTGATAAAGCACAACACTCTTTAGTTATGTGTCCCACTTACAGATTTTAGTAAAACTAATCCATTGGTAGTCAACAATCAGGTGATTTTAACATATATTTAACAGGTTTTTTTTTTTTTACTTTGTCAAAAAAGTATCTAGTGCTTAATAGATTGATTCCTTTTGGGTATTTATTAGTGCTTTGTCACCAAAACCATTTTTTATGTATATTTATTTTGTCTGTCACTGGGATCCTGTTCACATAACAGCCACCTAATGCTATTTATGTGATTTTGTTTGTTTTAATTCAGTCACGAAATAACTTTTAACGGACAGAACCTATTAAATAAAGATATTTAGGTCTTGCTTTGCCAGCTCAGTTAATGTTTCTCTTTGTTTTGGTGCATAACTTTTTAGAGGCCACTGATCATTTAATTCCATTCAACTGATGTTCATTTTTTACAAAACCATAAATGTCATCGGTTGATCTTTAAATAAGTTACCAAATTATGCAATTGGGACTCTTATGGTTTATATTCCTGAGGGAGTGGGAGGCTTACTTTAAACATTTTGTAACTGGAGGGAAAAGGTGATGATTAACCTGGTTTTAGCACATCCAGCCTTACTTCCATAGTCTTTTCTCTGCCTGTGTAGTCTGTGTAGTTTTGGTTTTCAGTCGCCACGCACAGATGACCCGCTTTACGAATCGCCAGGAAGCCTTTTCCAAGAGTTGCAGCAATAGATGCTCCTAAAAAAGGGCAGGAAATGTTCACATAAGCTGACAGAATAATGAATAAATGTAGCTAATCTTTACACCAAATAGTCCTACAATGTTTGGGAGACAAGTTTTGCATTTGCTACATCTAAATATAGCATTGTAACTTCAGGGGTCAGGTTTCGGATCTTACCCTGAAGCAGCAGCTCTGAATGAGATTTGTCTGAACTTTAGATGCTTCTTTTTCCCTCACTCAAGACAAATGACTTTGTTTTCTCACCAAGAATGAATCCCATGGCATCAATCCCAGCAACCAGGTCAATGGGGTCACTGTGAAACACACTCAGAAGGTCTTTGACACAGTCTGCCAGCGCCTGGATTAGGACCAAAACAGGGAAAAATTCACAACATGCACAGCTTTAAACTACTTATTACAACAACAGCTACAGATCACATGTCTCTTTTCTTTTATTGTACCTGTGAGTTGCAGTAGAGTCTGGAAGGGTCCAGCCAGGCAAACTCTGGTCCCTTTGTATTGGGGGCCATGAGTGAAAGGTACCATCCTTTCTGCCGATCTGCAGGAACAGCCAATACGTCCATTAGAAGTAGCTGCGGTAACGCAGTCTGTGCAGTCAGAGGGAAAGACTGAGGAAAACTAACGGGACGGGGAAGAAGACATTCGCCTATATCAGATTCCAGAGGGGTGGGTGGGACTGGACCCTGTATAGCTTCACTCTCCTGTTTGTGCTGGATTTCAAAGCAGCTAATCAATTCAAGGACTTGTTTACTTGTCTTTAAGGTTCACTGTGTAGATTCTTAACTTTCCAATGTTCTTTTTTTTCTCCCCCAAGTCCTAAAAGAAACACGGTTTGCAAGAGCTGCACTTTAAATTAGAAAAATTCCTCCATACATTGCTCCTATTTACAACATGTTTTGTCCCATAGAACTCCCAAACTTTAGGTTATTCTACTGTGATTATAGAGGACTCATAGTCCAGACAGAAATAATTAACTTATTGTCTTAACCTGTCCTTCCAATTTAACTGGGCTTGAGCTTCTTTCCTGAGATAATTGATTAAAATCTGCAACCCAGTACAGTCATGATCTTAAAGAATTGCATTAAAAGCTCATTCTACAAATCTTTGCTCAGAGACTGTTCAGAACAAAATTTAACTGTACTTTTATATGGCACTTTGTCTTATAATTTAAAATGTGATATAAAAGTCCTGTCACAGTCTGTCTTAACAGTTTGGCAACTCAGAAACTATTATTCATTAATTGGGTTTATCGTCAAAGGTATAGGGGAGGATTTTCGCGAATAGTTGAAAAGACCCGCCTTCTCCATAAAATTAACATGCACAACCCTGTACCTGCTCCCGAGAGGGAGCAGGTACAGGGTTTGTGCAGGTACATGGGCTTGTGCAAGAGCTTGCACAAGCCCATTTCTCCTCGTGCACGCTCTGTTTAAAAGTTGTTTGCATCGTTCATACAAGCTTACTTTCCAAAAGAACATTTTGCAATTTTTTCACTATGTCAATCTCACCACCGGTAGGTGAAAATGGGGACGAGCACGTAGGATGGCGTTACATAAACATAGCACCAGAATGATTGAAAATTAGGTGGACCACTTATTTGGATGATCCATCCGGAAATAGACCATCCTCCACTATACCTTTAATTCTTAGTTTGATATTCTTCAACTGTCAAAATTGAATATAAAAGCTTATATGTCTCAAACATTGTTGCTGAAATGGTGAAAAAAATACAGAAGGTCATTTTATGTAAAATAAAACAAAGAAAGAGTTTTCAGTTTGTGTGAGTGAGCTGTTGAACACTGAACTCTTTGTTTGGTTCCTGCTGTAAATCAAAAGGAAACCAGGATCCTGGGAGAATCAGCTCAATCAGGACTTTCGTGAGATTTGCTGATAAACAATTCTTTGTATTTTACTGGATGCCTGACTCATTACTTCAGCTTTAAAATTTAAAAAGCCAAAGATTCTCAGACACTAAAACAATTAAAGTCTTTTAGCTCCATCCAACTTTTACAGTATTAGTAACTAATATATTATTTTGCAAATTTGTGATGCTACAGCCACACATCTCAGGATGTTTATTGGGATTTTATGCTTTAGACCACCACAAAATAGTAAATAACCACAAAGGGGGAAAATATTTAGTTCCAAAGATTTTAAAGGTTGAGTATATTTCTATTTAATTTCCTTAACTATGATGCCCCTTGATAAAATCCATTGAAACTGGTTTTCTCTTAGAAGCCATAAATCCATGTTCTTTAAAGAGTTCCACATGGAGAGACTCACACAGACTGAAGCTGCAATTAGAAAAGCTTTTGATATGAATGAAATAAGTTCATTGGTGCTCGGGCCCTGGCATAAGAGTTTGATGCTGTGAATCGAAATTCACTAGGATGAGAAATCTAGGAAATAGATCAGTCTCCACCAGTCCCCCCCCCACCCCCCCACCCCCAGGGCGCAGACACTGGTGGTGGAATAAGCTACAGGATAAGAGGGACTGAGAATAGCCTGAGAGTGAGGGAGCAGATGGGGCACAGATGGGTAAGAGTTTGCTGGTGTGCAGGAGGGAAGCTAGGCCAGGAGCTAAATGAAAGATGATTGGCTTCAGAGGAGGTGCAGCCCCCATGATGACTGGCTGAAGCTTGAAGTGGGAATTCAGCAGGTGCTACAGGTGAAGCAGATGAGTATTCCTGATTGAATTTCTGCTTGAGCTTCATTAACAATACTTAGTAACATGAAGACAAAGGACCACAGCAGACAGGTCAGGGGAAAATGTTGTGGAGAACTTTTATTCAATTTAATTCAGTTAATTTCTATCACACCAATTCCTAACATTGGTCATCTCAAGGCACTTTACGGAGACAATTCAACCAGATCATACAGTCAGAATAGTTCAAAGGTTTCTATCTAAGGAAAACCAGCTGATTGCATCGACTCATTGACTCTCCAGGAATCCCTTACATCAAGCATGCATGAAGTGACAGTGGAAAGGAAATCCCCCTTTTAACAGGAAGAAATCTTCAGCAGAAGTTTAAAGCATTGGTTATAAAAAAAGATCCAAAGCTTAAAAAAAAAAAAAAAAAAAAAAAAAAAAAAAAAAGTGACCTGACTGTTAATCTGACAAAAAGAAGTCCAACTTAGATCAAAGGCTGCAGAAGGAGACCATCACTGGGAGAAGAAGATTAAAGACACATTGAAGTGGGAGTTCTGCAGAGATCAACATCAAAGGTGGGAGAATGACAACTATTGTTGCTTGAGGATCAGTTTCTGAAAAAGCTCAAGTAGAGTTCACGTTTACTGTGGCTGAAACCTGACCCTTTATCTAACTGTATCCAAGATATATCTCTCGGCTCTGAGTCTGAAAGGTGCTCACTGTTTTTACATAAACCAATATCTGAAATTTCATCCTAGTTTTTATTAAACAGAGGTCAAGCTGAGGGCTGAAGGCTCAGCCTGTGATTTTCCCACAGTCTAAGTCATGTGTGCCTTAAACCAAAATATGCTGTAAAATTGTGTCTATAGCAGAGTTACACACTCAATTCATACAAATGTGTAGAAAACTAATTAAAAAACATGAATCACGGAATATCTGTATTACATTATAGGGGCTGGTGGATGAAATACAATTTTACAGAAATACATTATTCTTATATGCATTTAAAATCTTACAATAAAATGTCTTCCATAGCTATAATTAGCATTGATGGTGTAACACAACATAGGAAAACCTGTGAACCACAAATAAAATACAATACATAAGTAAGGTGTGATACCTACTGTTTATGAGAAGATTGAGGTTTTATCCTTATGAAAGAAAGAAATGTTTACATATTGAAAGAGATAACAAACTAACTTTCAGCAGGTCTCACAAACGAAGGAGAAATTATGAGGAGGAAAACCACCTTTCAGAATATTTGAAGGTAGAAAACAGCTTCTGGTCAATTTATCGCCATGGAAGAGTTATATATATATTTAAATATATATATATATATATATATATATATATATATATATATATATATATATATATATATATATATATATATATATATATATATATATATATATATATATATATATATATATATACGTTTGTATGTATGATTGATATTTCTACCATCTCCACTAGATGTCCGTAGTGCTTAATGTCTAAACCTTTAAGTTGTGTTATCCATTGTGTGGAGAAAAAACGAAAAACGAAATTTCGCTTTGTGCAGCTCTCATGACATTTCCATTTCTTAAAGTGCAGCATTGATCAAATGTTGACACTTTTGGAGAAAAAAACATGAAGCGCATTGATATGGAAGTTCAGAGCATTAAATATATATGGTGCAATTTTGCAGCGTTTTGGTTTGTGTTGTCAGTGTGATGCAGAGTCTGAGACATGATTTAGAGTTTTTAGAGTTTATAGAGTTTTCTCAACTCTATAATTTAAACTGCACAAACTGATTTTACTAACAAGGAATGAGTTTAAGATCAAGCCAACAAGGATCTGCCAAATGTATGTACTAAGGGGGGAAATAACTGGACAGATGATGCTCTGACATGGAATATGGCGAAGACTGAACCAACTGGGTTCAATAAGACAAAAAAAAGAAGGAACAAAAAACCAAGTTACTTCTAAATTCCTCTAGAGGGCACTGTTCTGCCATCAATACGGTGTAAGCTTCTGACTAAAGAGTTCCAATTTATTATTATGATAATAATAATAATAATAATATTATCATATCGATAAAATTATGTTATCATTTTAAACCCACACATTCTCAGGCCTGAGATCATTTATTACCTCAATTTGAGGAAGAACAATATAATTTAAAAAACACTCCTTAAAATATGTTTATCTAATTTTCTGAAAAATTACAGGTAAGTCCATCTCAGTCATGTTTTCGTATGCTTCCTTGTATTTAGTATAGATTACCTCCACAGGAACAGATGGATTATCAGACTTGTTCTCCTGCCCCAAATTCGTCCCACACTGGGCACTTCAGTTCATGGGAAAGTTTTTTCATCATTTTTTTTTCTCCCACTCCTTCGAGATGTGATCGAATGTTGCCTCTGGTGATTTTACATCATTTTTCTCCGCCTTCCAGTAATCTGATTTCAGTGCCTTGTGTGGGTTGGATCTCCTCCTCCAGAGTCTCAGAATAAGACCAGCCATGTGACAAAACACTGGGCTCATTAGGAACCCAACCTGACATGAAGGTTGTTGTTTTTTTCTTGGAACATAAAGCGACTTGGCACCAAATACATAAAACTTTAACATGCATCATTTAAATTTAGACTTAGTTTTATAAAATAAGATACATACAAACAAGACATGATAACTATGATAAGAAAATATGAATTGAAGCTGCAATAGTATTCCTTCATGTTGAACTTTTTACTTTTAATAATGCTAAATTAGTCAGTTTTTCAGACTTTTTACAGATAATCTGAAATATTTGGTAAAAATTAGTATTTAGCCTTCCTAAATAAAAAAAATCCAGAAACCGCTCTCTTCCTTTATTTGTTTGGGGTATAACTCAGCCAGGCTGCTGCATATGCTTTTACCACTTCTTCTTTTAAAAAAAAAAACCTATATTTTAAGTCTTACCACAAATTTTCAGTTTAGCGCTGGAGGTTGATAAAACCATTCTACACCATC